TATATATATATATATATATATATATATATATATATATATATATATATATATAGATATATCTATATATTTAATTTAAGAACTATAATACAATATCATATATATATTTCATACATACACAGTACACACACATACATACATACATATATATATATATATATATATATATATATATATATATATATATATATATATATATATATATATATATATATATATATATATATATATATATATATATATATATATATATATATATATATATATATATATATATATATATATATATAAACTTGTGGCCCTTATCATCACCAGTGTTCATGCATTTGAAATCCGGACCAAGTACCTCGAACCCTTTTAAAAGATAAACGAATACCGGGTTTTGCTGATGCTACACCTGATGAAATACATCGGTTGATCCTACACCATTGATCTACACATAATAACATCCACCTACATGTATGTGTGCTTAGTGGGTGATTATTTGCATAGATCTATAGTGCAAAACCACTCGGTATTTTTCATCAGATGTAACATCTCATAGACTGGACCTACCTGAGTACCGAATACTGCCTCGTTCGATTCATAAATGTCAGCAAAATAGTCCAACCAGGTCTTAATTTGTTTTCAACCACCTATCAAATATATCTCTATAGGCCTTCTTTTTTTCTTTCTAAATAATTGAATTTCGCAATGACAATTGCATGCTTAATTCAACTAGACTCGTAGTTAAACATGATGCAACTATACCTAACAAAACAGTCACATTCTCCCATCCGATATATAAACCTTAGAATAGGCTAAGTTAACTGTCACCGTCCCACTAATTCTGGTATAACCACCCATTTAGGAGAAATAAATTAAAACCCACTATTTTCACGTGCGAACCAAACAAACTTATTAGAACATACTCTGTACTACCAGCCTAACTAGAGAGTGAAGACAAGGGAAAAGAAACTCAAAAACTTTAAAATAATGTCACATGTTAAGAAGTTGCAGCGGTTTTACATGTTGCCGAGGGCATATAAGTCATTACGCGGACTCGGATATTGAAAAACCCGTTTAAGTTACAACAATGTTACACACGAACAAAAAAAGAAGCAAATAATATATGGAATAAAAGTAACAAATGACCAATATACATTACTCCACATATTAAGTAAATAGATCTGATTTAGTTTCTCATAAATGAACTACTGCTTGTAGACAATGTCCTCAACACGCTGCAAAAAATCCGACCATAACGAACTGTTTGAGCTGTATATGTAAGAAGGAAAGGTAAACGGATAAAGGCAGGGAAAATTCGAACAAAACGAGATAACATACCTGCAGTGCAAAATGGGAGTCATCACGCCGGGTATTGGCTAGGAATCTGTTTGAACATGAAATATTTCAGTGACAGCAAAACAACACGTGTTTACTTTGACCAAACTCATAAATGCATCAAAAATGTAGTAGCGTATAGAAAAATCTAGTTATTCAAACAGCCACGTGCATATTTCTCATTTAGAATTATTCAGCATCGTAGTGTAGCCAACCCATGTGAAAAAAATTGTGGTTCATAATGGTAGCCTGGTAGGCAAACATGTGAAAGAAAACATAAATAAAAAAACGAACCTAATATGAATTAAAAGAAATAGCAATAGAAGAGATCCATAAGTCTAACGCAACCAACTTAAAGAAACCTAAAGGAATAGCAAAGTCATTTATTTGTCACTTCAGTTCAAAGGTTCTATTTATGTCATCGAAACAACTCTAACAAAAACTTCACTCCTGTATAATGAAAAATTGAATATGTAGTTATGTCATCACGGAAACGCACGACGCCAGCCTAAAGAAAGATACAGAACCATTTATTGAAAAGGATATACAGCATCCCTTAATGCAACTGAACCAGTAAAAGAACATAATGCATTTTTCTGTGCTCATCAGATCTTTCATCAACAAACATATCTGATAGATGTAAGCAGTACACATACACATGCAGATAAATGTATGCAATAGAGCTTGGAAATTTTGAGAAAATTTAGGTTATGATGTTAGAATTTGTGTATCAAGAAGACCCGTTTGTGGCTGCTTACTAGAGCATTAAGGGAAGGAAACTACTTTTTACTTTTCTCAGCAAGTCTATTGACTAGTACGAAAACACATAGCACATGCCACTGTGGCCAGAGCTTGATGCAACTTTGAAGAATAACCCAACTCTAAGCAAGTAAAACACTACTAAAATACATCTATTGTGGTCTTCTATAACAATTATCATGGTATATTTCAGCATGACCACTTATCGGAACTTTAATGATTCATCTTTCCTTTATAATCGAATCATTTACCATATCTTCATGGTTTTCCATAACAGTTCCGATACTGTACTTCCGCATGTTCACTTATGGTTACGGAATATTTTTATGCATAAACCTTCATATTTTCATATACAATCAAATCATCCAACAAACGTAATAATTGATGATAACATTTTCTACAATACGGCATTAGAACAAAAGTAAAATTGACATACATAAGCTCTTGTTGGGAGCTTCCCCCACAAGTTCGTGGAAGGATCTTAAGATTATGTTTCTTCAAAGCATTAGTTAAAAGCATGAGTAATTTTATCAACATTTTTATTTGCACACAATGATGAAGTGGATGAGCAAGACAAATTTGATCTTGAGGGCTTACTAAGTTTCAAAACATGTTTGTTAGAAAAATCAGGGTGCATTAGATGGAAATGTGTCACTCACAAAGCGATGAGGTCAATAATTAAAAGTAACGAATTTCAAAATGAAGTAATTAGCGAAAAGAGAATAATATTAACACTAATATAACAAGTAGAAACAACATTAGGTACATGTTAGATGTGGAATTACAACATTCTAGGAAACTGATAGATACGCAAAATCTTAGCGGGCAGTATGTTGAGAAACCGGAATTAGATCCATTTTTTTGGGCATATGATCTTATAAAATTTGGAAAAAAAAAACTATAATCTGCGCTTTTAATGAAGTGTAATCATTCGCAATACGAGTCCGTTAGCGAGAAAATCTTAACAATTATTACCAAACATTAAAATATCTAAACATGAAATGGACACGTTTTTTTACTTCCGATCACGTCACATCCACGTGGAACAACAAGAACTAGACCAAAAGACGTATATCAGGTGCAATAAATGTAAGATTCAGGTTACTAATTCAAGCAAGCAAACCTAACAAACAAATAAAGACGGATGGCTGGCAATTTTAGATTTTTGGACTAGGTGTTAATACTAGCAGGATAAAGTGCAATAAAGCACATAAATCTTCCGCAGTACATGTCGCAACAAAGTCAACTCCCCTAAAGACCTTCCCCCAACCCTCCGTTTCATTCAACACGTACAAATTCGGCATAAAGAATGCTAATTACTAAGTGATCCCTCACAGATCCCACAGTTCTGAAAAATCGCAAGTATTGGTAAGTCATCAGATACATAGTTCATCAATGCGTTAACATTTTAGATTTAGATACCACTTACGCAACCGTTTTACATACACAGAGACAAAATCTGATCAGAAAAAAAAAAATAGAAATGCAATCAAAACAGTTACCAATCAAAATCGAGAATAAGAAAAGTCACAAACCTTTACGATCATCGGACGCATCGTGAAACTCAGGCTCCTCGTCGTCCTCAGCGGCGGAAGCTACCGACACGATTGGCTGGACAGCGGCTCCGGCAGTATCCTTCTCATCAGGGTATCTAACCACAACGACGGGACAGACACAATGCCTGACACAGTAATCGCTAACACTGCCAAGCCTACCATCGCTGCCTCTCTTAGTGGCGCCGAATCCGCGGCTACCCATGATCAGAGCACTCAGTCCGAGCCTCTCAACCTCCAGGCAGAGACGCTCCCTCATGTCGTGATCCTTCACGATGTGGATTTTGAACGGGATTTGGGCGTCCACGAGCGGCTGCGCCAGATCGGCCGACTTGGCGGTGGTGAAGGCGTCGAAATCGTCTTCGAGCTTGCGCTGGGACTCCTCGTTGTCGGTGTCGACGATGGAGAGGTCGACCGATCCCCAGTCAGCGCCGTAGAGGACGGACGTCGGGCGGACGTGGACCAGAATGACTGCGTCCCCTGGACGGAGGTAGTGGTGGACGGACCACTTGACGGCGACGGCGGATTCGTCGCTGAGATCGACGGCGATGCCGATCTTGCGCTGGGCGCCAGCAGTGGGGGTTTCGGTGGAGAGAGGGGTGGTTGGGGGAGGAAAGCGAGGGGAGGAGGAGCGGACCTTGATGGCGGCGAGTGGTGGCAGGTCGGTGTCCGGCGACGGGTGATGCATCTTCGGCGGTAGGGTTTTGATTGGGTTTGACTTTTTCTCGGGAAGGTTGACTAGTGCAGTGTAGTGTGGGGGTGGTGGGGAGGTAAATGTTTGGGGAGGGTTTTTAATTAGTAATAAAATGTGGGTGGGGGGAAATGCAATTACTCTAAAGTATTGGAATTTTGGAATATTCCAATGGTTCTTTCTACTTGTCAACTACGTGTGGAATACTTCATCGTTGGGCTTTTACTTTTATGTATAATGGCCCAAATATGTTGCCCATTAAGAAAGCCCGAAATCATGTGGGCTTTATATATATAAATAACTCTTGACATTCCAATCACTGATGTGGACGTGCCGGAGTGGTTATCGGGCATGACTAGAAATCATGTGGGCTTTGCCCGCGCAGGTTCGAATCCTGCCGTCCACGGTTTTATTATATATTTAATTATTTTTCTTTTTGTTAAATTATGTTGGTTAAATTTTTAATTATTTTAAAATTAGAAACAAGTCATATTGTATTCATTTGTGCACGTAGTAAATTATTTCTTACACAAGTACTATTTTATTCCATTTCACTGTTGCTGATAAATTTATTTATTTTCTTTCATAATTATTGACAAAAAAAATGAAGTTAATAAAAAAGAAAATGAAGGGCCAATGAGAAGCATTGTTGAAAAAAGCTAGTTCATTCTTACAGCTTTACTGCTAATTTTTACTGAGAGTCTTCTGCACAAATTTATAGTCATTACAGGAGTTGTACTTAGCCTGCCCTCACCCTCTACTCACACTAACTACTTACTACTTTTTTTTATTTTATTTTATTTAAATATATTAGGCTTCCATTTTTACTATATATTTGAACCCTACTTTTGAAAAAGAAAAAAAGAAAAGGTACCCTTTTGAAATGGTTTGTTACTACCAGTTACAGAAAGTTCTGAGATATGAAACCTTGTGTTTCAGTTCTTACATGGCAGATTAAACTGGGGTGTGGCAATTCCTCTCTTAAATTGGTGCAGACAATACATTTCTAGGGTTTTCTAGATTTTGCAGTACCACCACTTATTCATATTTTTTCATATTATTATTTCTAGATCTAATTAATTAATTAATCAATTCTCTATTAGTTTCAAGATTAGTGCTAATTAATATTTAACTAGTTAATAAATTCTTCCCAAGGCTATTAATTACAATAGAATTATGAGAATTAATTAAATATTTATTGTACATATCATATGTATGTAGCTAATTAACTACGTACTCTCTTTAATTTTAAATTCAAGATTAGTGGCTAATGATGATAATAAAGCTTAATTAATTAAGAGATCTACCTACAGTAATACAGTCACTGCATGCATGATGTAAGAGAGAGAGAGAGAGAGAAGAGAGAGAAAGTAAGAACTCAGAAAAATGTAATATTGCCCTATTCTGCAGATCGATCATGAAAAAGGGTAAACAAAACGCTGTGTTTCAGTGTTCTTCACAACACGAATTTCTCCAAAAGAAAAAATAAAAACGAGAACTAATTACTTAATTAACGTACGATATATGTTGTTCTAATTAATTAATAAGAGAGCTTGAGAGAAAGATCAATAAAATCGGAGGTTTGAAATCCAGTGGCCGCCATTGTTGAAGAAGAAGAGGTCGTTGTTGTTTCTGAACCTCCTCCGGCGGCGGCCATCTTCATCACCGCCGTCAACTCATCGTCGTCATTGTTGGAGGAATCGCTTCCGCCGCCGTCGTCGGCGCCGTAACCTTTGCCCGCCGGAAAGAATTCGTACTCCATCAACACAGTACTCCGCCCACCCTCCGATCTTCTTGATGGCCCTCGTCTGTGAACTGCCACCACCTCTACACCCTGTATACAAAAATTCCGAACCCGGCCCCATTAAAATGAAATAAATTATATATATCCGCACATTTTATATATTTATGTAATAAAAAAAAATATTATTATATACCTGGGTTTCGTGGCCGGTGGAATTTGGATTGTTGTCTCCGATGCTTAAGCCCAAGAACCCGTAGTCGCCGGAGTTAGTGTAAATGTCCGATCTCGTGACTCTGCCTGAATTTTCACTGTTAATCACCTTCTTTTTCTGCAAGGTGGTAAAAAATAAAATTCATTAAATAAAACAGAAAAAAATGTTTTATTATTACAAAAAACTGAGATGGGTTATACATATATATATATATACCTTGTGGCAAGAATTACAGTGTTCGGAATAGCAGTTGAGGAAAACGTTTGGGGAAGAAGAAGAAGAAGAAGAGAGCTGCTCTTTATTATGGATCATGAGATTCACGTTCTTAGTGAAGAAATCCGGAGCCAGTCCGATAACTCCGGCGGTTTGCCCGTGAAAGCCCAGATGATAACTCTGCTGGGTCGGGTTCGGGTTCGGGTTCGGGTTCAAGCCCATATGTCCGACGATCGGAGCACCGTACCCGCCGAACCTCAGGGGAAGAAGAGAATTAGCAGAGCCGAACAAATTAACAGGATCGGAAAATGGGGTGGCGGCGGCGGCGGTGTTGATGATGTTGAAATTAGCGTGGTGGTGGTGGTGATTCGCCGTGGGGGGTTGGGTCATTTTCTCCCACCGCTTCTGGAGGCGGAGGCGCTCGAGCTTTTCGACGCCCATGCCTCTCTGGGGTTGCTTCTTGATCTTCTCGGAGCCCTTGTTGGGCTGCTTTTTCCGACCGGAAGTACGTCGTACTGTGTGGTGGTCGTGGGGCGGAGACGAGGGGCTGCTACTTGGAGTTGTGGTTTGGTGGGGGTGGTGGTGGTGATCGGAGGCCGCCGTGAGAACGGAAGTAGCCATGGTTGTTGGGTAGAGTGTGCGTAATTTTAATGGAACAGTGGCACTGTATTATATATGCCAAACTTATACAGAAAGAGATAGATATAGAGAGAGAGAGAGAGAGAGAGAGAGAGAGAGAGAGAGAGAGAGAGAGAGGAGAAATGTAGAGAGAGAAAAAGGTAAAAGCTAGGTCTAGAGAGAGAGAGAGAGAAGTGGCAGTACAGCTGAGAAATGCAAAATGTGGGGGGTTTTTTCTTCATGCAGGTTTTTCAATGTGTCCTATATATCCCATACAGAATGCTTGATGTGATCCCCCTCCTCTTTTTTTTTTTTTATTACTCCTGCCAGAGTTATTGGGATTTGTCTTTAGTTAAAATGATTTTTTCTTTTCTTTTTTTCCATTGACTGATTTTCCATTTCAGAAAACAAATTCATATATATACATACATATATATATTTTTATTTTTTTTAGTTATTATGAATTGGATGATAAAGTATGGAATAAGAAAAGGGTAAAAAGGTAAGAGGGTGTTATAGAGAATAGGGTGGGGCTATAGGCTATAGAGCACATGAAAACATGTCCCACATGCTTACTAATTTTGGTGCTCAAATATTCACGTTTTGGGGTGTTACAAGTTGTAGGATGTGTTCTCTTTTTTAGCACCTAATCAAAATCAATCATACAAACTCAGATTTTCTTACTTTTCTGTCTACATCTCTTCTTATACATACATAACATACATACATATATACACACATTTATGTATGCGATATCAATTGATTACCCTATATATACTATAGTTTATTATTGGTAATTCACCAAGTTCTGAACTGATCTTTTAATTTTATTTTTCTATGGTCTAACATAGCATTTCTTGGCCGGAAGGGAAGTACTTTTAATCCCTACACGAGTAGCTATTACTAGGGGGGCATTCACTCGACTAGTAAACCAATCGAAAATTTGGTACGTGCCAAATACCGAACCGAATATTTGGTTCCATATTTGGTAACTATTTTTTTGGAATTCCAATCGGTACAGTATATACGATTTGATGTCTGGTATACCGTATCGTACCGAATACGAAATATTTAACATATTATTCTTTTATTTTAAATTTTGTAAGGTTATAACGAATTATAGAATACTTTTAGATACCATAAATTTTTTTCCATTGTTTATAAATTAACCTCTATTGATAATAATCATTTTTTGTTTTTTTTTGTTTTTAGGGCCTATTATTGAAATTTATCAAATTCAAGAATTAATTTGTTTAAATATATTTTATTTTACATTTTCAAAAATATTAATATATATTTTCGATTTTACCGGTAGTAAACGAAAAACCGAATTAATTCGGTAGAAAACCGTACCAAACCGAATAGTTTGATATGGTAGACGGTACAAAAAACTTCAAACTACTAAAATCTCGATTTACCGAAATTCTGATACGATTTGGTATTTATTTAATCAATAGAAAAATTGAAAAAAAAAATCCCTAGAAGAAAAAACCATGAGCAGGGCAGATCCAGCTAAGGCAGCATTTGGTGTTAGCGCAGATCCCAATAATCCTATGCAGAGGTCTCTTATTTCTCCAGGAGCCCTAAAATCCTTCGTGTCTGTCCATAATCAGCACAAAATCGAACATCCAAACACACCCCTTAACACGTGTCGCCCCCAATACGTGCCACCTCACCCATTCAATGCCCTCCACGTAGCTTTTCCTCAGCCGCCTCTAATTATTAAAAAAAATAAAAACGGATTCTCTACAGCGCCACCCCACACTACGGTTTAGCTAGTGGGGACCACCGATCCGATCGGATCTGGGGGCCCCACAAAGGAAAGCAGACACCAAAGATTCGCATCGTTTGTTGTTAACAAGCTCTCTCTCTCTCTCATTCATCATCAATCAGAACTGTATTTTACTATTTACTACAACATGTTTCCTTATTTTCTTCGTTACCTTGAATCTTTCTTCAAAGGCGTGGAGCCCACAGTTTGGGAAAGTGGGGTCCGCATTGATGACGTGGCGGCACGCTAATTGTCTGTTCTCCCGATTATTAGAGATTATTAGTTCTGGTTAGTCACGCGGCTTCGATTTTTACTTTTGATGGTTACGTTACTGGGGAGATAGACACAGAGTACATAAGTAGTTATATATATATATATATATATATATATCATAATTTCACATGCTATAAGAAAAATTAAATAAATCTAGAATGAAAGTGACAAACATATTTTTACATGCTAAGAACGCTGTATTCAATTTAAATTGTAATGATAATTTGCACTTGTTTTACTACAATTCTTGTTATAACAATAATTTTTTTCAAGAATCCTAACTTATGTACATATTTTTTTCAAAATTGTTCGTTTCGGAGCAAAACTCCCGCAACATTGCAATGGACCGCCACCGTTTTGTCGAACCATGATTAAGTTGTTATTACGTTTGGGGGGAAATATAACTATTAATCTTATGAAATGTAAAGCTGCTGATGATGATTTCTTCGTGCAAAAGATTTGGTTGTTTAAGAGAGTCATTACAACCCGTTTTTGCACATTGCCCGGTTGTTCATACACAAAATTAACCGACGGCAAATAAAAAACAACAATATAATAGCAAAAATAAAAGTGAAAACATTTAAGTACTTTCATATAAGCAAATTCATATATATAGGGTTTTAATTTTTTTTTAATCTAGTTAAAACTTAAAAAGACTTGTTTATTATTTTATTTTATTTCTTGAAAATATTTTATTAAAAGTCTTTTTGTTAGGGTATTTAAATGTGTGTTTGGAATAATAATATAGTTATATTTTTCCCTAGGGTTTTGGCACAAGGATGGTGGGATTTAGAGTAACTGTAAGTTGTGGCTTTATGCAACTTCTGTGAAAGCCTAACTACTCCTGGCAAACTAGCCAAATGTCAGTTCTTCTCTCATCACTTCTTTTGTTTTTATACTACATATACATACTTTTATATATATATATATATATATATATATATATGAGTAAACTGCAAAAACTACCCCTGTATAATCTTGAAATAGCAAAAACCCCCTTGTGATAAATAAACTAGCAAAAACCTCCCCTGTGAAATTATTTAAATAGCAAAAACCCCCCTATGGAACTATTTGAGGGTTGACTTGATATAAAAAGACTCAAATACCCCTGGAGTCTTGCAATTAATAAATTCTTATATTTTATAAATATTTTAATTATTTTATTTAAAAAATAATCAATTTAGTTGTTTACTATTTTTTTTAATTTCTAAACAAACAAATTAAAAAGAATAAATATACATATAATATGTATATATATAAATACATTTTGAGGGACAATTTTGTCATTTCAAGTCTAAAAAATCAGCTAGGGGGGATTCTGCCTTTGACTAAATTTCACAGGGGGGTTTTTGCTAGTTTATTTATCACAGGGGGGTTTTCGCTATTTCGAGATAACACAGGGGTAGTTTTTGCAGTTTACTCATATATATATATATATATATATATATATATATATATATATATATATATATATATATATATATATATATATATAGAGAGAGAGAGAGAGAGAGAGAGAGCAAATCTCAGTTCAGATTCATATCTGCATTAATACTCTCTCTCTCTCCTCCTATACATACACGATAGATATGTGTGTCTATCTTCTTTCTCTCTCTCACACACACACACAGTCATTACGGTTTTAGGGCATAGTGATTGTACATAACTGGAAAAGGGCATCTGAAATATAGACAGTGTGAAGGTGAGCCCCAGATCTGGTACTATGGTTGGCCTTCATTGAAAGATTTTTAATTTTAAGATGTAAGGAAGGATGGGATGCAAACAAAACATCGAACATTAAATCTGGACCGTTCGATGTATGTAATAAACAAAACAATATCAAATGTGTGGCTAATACAGGGAACTTAATAAAATAAAAAGGGGTACAGCCTATTCCCATGCAAAAAGAAACAAAAGTTTCTGTCGCCTGTTCGTTGTGTTGGTACGTACGTACCTTTGAGACACTAAAATCACATACACCAACACCCTAAATATATATATTTTTTAATATTAATATTATATTTTATTATACATGTATGTGGTCCTCTAATTGATTTTTTTCTGCGGCAAATTGTACTTTGGAAATCTTCTAGGATTTTTAAGAATTTAATCTTAGCTTTTAGTATAATATTATATAGTTGTAATGTTGAGAAAATTAGATTTTTTAAAAATTCGGAAATTTGAACAAAAATGTCATTTCATAGTCAACTGTTTTCCGGTCAAAATTGGTGGAACTCCAAAAATTCCATTTCAATTTCCACCGCAAATATAAAATAGGATAAATTACAACCACCCCAGAGGTAAGATCAATTTATGGAGAAAAAAAATTCCCTCATGTTTCCATAATTACATCCACCCCTTGCCATTTGTAGATTTCTTACATTGACACCCTTTTGTAGGGGGGATGTAAGATATTTACATACTGCATGGGGTTAGATGTAATTTTTCAAAAATAAGGGGCTTTTTGTAATTACACTTTACCTCAAGGAGTTGGTTGTAATTTACCCAACAAATTAAATATCAAAACTGTAATTTAAAGAAAATAACATTATTGAAATATTAAAAAAAAAATCAGAATGTAATTGGCATCCATATATATGGATGCCAATTAATAACTATTGAAAAAAGGAGAGCATTAATAATATTTAAGGGCTAGTACTTGTTATTGTAGTCAGCAACTACAATAAATGGTATTAAATATTATTATCAAAGGCATCTATATCTAGCTTTTCTAGTAGTAGATCATAAGATTACTAAGAACAATAGGAACAAATAGACTTGTACGCTGTTTGATATGATGATTGTCTTAGGATACATCTAGAGACTAGAATGCAAGAATTGATCGTAATCCTTAAATCGAAGATATGGGAAGATATTATCCAAATTAGACGACATGCTCTCTTAAGTATATAATATATATGGTCTCTAATATAGTATGTATCTCACAACAAGCTAAAGACCAGCATTACCCTTTCGATGGATCCCTCTCGTTAGTTGTTGGTTGTTAGGTTAGACATACATTGGGCATGTTCCATGAGCATTTTCAAGGTAACTATTGCATGATAACATTCTCTTTAATCTAAACTGCAGAATCTCCTACAAATTCACTACTAGGTTTTTAAATCGAGTTTTTTGGTTCTTTCTACCACATACTTCAAAATTCCAACACCGTTTGTATTCTTAAGACACTTTCAAGAAACTTCAGCAGATGTGGTAATGCATCCGTAACTAGGACAAAATAATAATAACAATAATAATAATAATAATAATAATAATAATAATAATAATAATAATAATAATAATAATAATAATAATAATAATAATAATAATAATAATAATAATAATAATAATAATAATAATAATAATACATTACATGTATATATACACACCCACGCATCACACACACACACACACACACACACACACACACACAGGCATGGTTCTTAGTTACAAGCGCTGACCTGTTCTTGAGTACGCCACTCTCTCGGGCAACAAGAATGACGCGCACAACATCCATTTTCCAGGGGCGACGAGGCGGACTCTGTGCATCTCTACATCGAAATCCACCTCCGAAAGTGCAATTCTAATTCGCTGGTTTTTTCATAATAGATAAAAGCAGAGACAATGTGATCAACTGATGAGTCTAATTTCGTCTGCTAAATTAAATTTTACCTAGTGTGGCGGCCACACAAAACGCAGTACCTGATGAAATTCGAATTCGGGATCTTCAGCTTTCGAGAACCCATAGACATGAATTTTTGGTAATATACGTTGTTCGCCCCGACCATGTCCTTGAAAAACTCCTCTAAAAGCATCTGCATTTAAATGCAATCCTTTAGTGCAGAGATATACAGATCCTACATGTGTAGTATCAGGCTCGTCATGGAAAAAACAATTTCACGATAACGAAAAATTGTCATAAAAACTGTTTACCAAGAAACTCAGCTGCATCCTTCGGCAAATTCATAACTACTTGAGTAATGGGCGGAGCTCCCTGCCTAGCAAAAACTGTTTCGACAAATCTCCTTCCATCCATGTTAAATACCTACAAGTTTGACACAATGTCAACACGATAAGCTACTATTTTGACAACTTAAGCTAGATTATGTTGAGCCATGAGTTCCTAACACAGTCTCGTTTGCAGTGCCAAGAATTAAACATACAGCATGACGTACAATGTAGAAGAACAATTTATGGATTTCACAATTAATGCAGCTAATAAGTCAAGCACAGCGATTTTGCACAGCTAATCTTACTATCAAAACGCAAGATTTTTCAGTTTCGTGTGAATATGAAGTCTATTGTCCCAAGAGTGATGTGTTGGTGTCGTTTATCTAGAATGTTCAAGAATAAGAACAATACGGAACAACGGTAGTCACTCGTACCTCAATTTTCCTGTCTAATTTATTAAGGACAGAGTTTCTTTCAAGATATTCAACAGCACAAGGGTTCAAATCATTAGCGTACACGTGCTTGACTTTCTTTGCTGCATAGATCGCAAGGGGACCAACTCCAGCAAAAACATCACCTGTACAGATGAAAACAAAACAATACATTCATAACGGGGAGGGCTATAAAATTGGATAAGGTAGCAGAGATTTCCATCTTCTCTTTACAAGAAACGGGTTTCAATTATTTAACATCAGGTTGACTAGTCACAGGCCAATTTCAATCAACATTTAGTCATGCATTCTAATTTTGGATAAGCGTATAATTACTGAAGAAGTAAGAATTCAGTATTATCTACTAACATACAGACAACATCGCTGTACTTGAAGCAACTGAGGAGCCTCTGCCTTTCAGTTGCAAGCCTTGAGTTCCAATATCTACACAAAAAGTATATAAACATTAGATTTAAATTAAAACTTTGCATTTCAAGCGCACATATATTTTGTCCTCTCTAGACTTACACTGAGGCTAAATCAACCTGGAAACGCAATCCATTTTCCACAAGTGTTGTCACAAGGGAATTATTGCCGGCCAAAACCTCGAGCTGCATTGTTCTATAGTCGTTGTGAATAGCATCAACTTTGTTTACAACTGTTTTTATCTTGGGTTTGTTCTTATCCAAAACTACCTGAGGTGGACATCATTAATAGAAAAGGGGGGCCCACAAAAGGTGTCAGAGAAACCTTACAAGACGAAACTGAACTCCATATAATACCAAAGTTGCACTACGAGTGGAGAGTACCTTTGCGATAAGATGTTTATATTGAAGATGCTCATCTCTCAAGTTCAGGTGAGCAATATGGCCAACCGTTTCAAAAGCTGAAGGAATAGTCGTGCCTTTCGGGAGCAAAGCCTCCAAAACCTGCAAAGAATGCAATACATACTACGTATTATGTCTACATAGACTATAGTGGATACACGCAACACTAACTGGCCACTTATTGATCGGCATATTACTACCCTATTGACCCAACTTATGCCAGCAAACAGTATCTTTTTCTTTGCAGTTCATGTTCATCTATATATAGCAGTAGGAGATACGGTTTTAGGAAGGAAAACAGAACATTCACCAAAGACATGAAGAAAAATATATATATAGAGAGAGAGAGTTTCCAGCCAAATTAATTATCTTATTTCTGCTAGCATGAAAAATAAAGTAAATGAACAATTACTGAAAAAAACGTAAGACAATTTTCAAATTTGAAGCCAAAAAGCACTATTAAGCTAAAAACAAAAGGAGATCAAGTGAAATACCTCGTTGAGTTGCCAATAATCATAAAGCAGAGTCAATTTGCATTTCACAAGTTCAAAAGCGGACCTAGTACACTGTCCATCATGTTCTTGAAAAGCTACCTGAAAAACAAAATCAAAATACAAGATATGATACCTCATTGCAGCATATATTAACTGAAAGAAGATACCAGATCTATATCAATGAAGTGCAATTCTCCCAAAACAAAACTAAACATACTAACGCGGTACTAATGATATATAACAAGAGTAAAGACTCCGTAAGATGAATGTACAACAAAAAATCTATTATCCGGTAATACATAACTACAACTTTAGTGTTTTTTTCCTTTTGAACATATTGAATTTCCTTCTTTGAGCATATGAAGTTAGAACTCCAATTCCTACATCCCTGTGAGTTATCTCAATCAAACGGCAGCTTTTGATTCATAATACGACTACCACAATCTGTTTATATCGGCAGCATTCATTAGCTAATAGCAAAACATATGAATTGGGCATTGCCTTAAACGCAAGAACAAGTCACAACCAAACAAGATAAAATTGTCTGCATCATATGTCGCGTACAGTAATTCAAAATGATTTTAACTAGTCAGTTTTATAGTATATCTAAATACCATAACACACAATCTACAATATGAATTAATTAATCAAAATTCGAGCAAGATATCCACATATCGAGATAAGTACCAAGCAAACAGGACACACTATACATCCACTGAACTTCCAACAAACTGGCCACTCAATAACAAATACGAAATGATTGAGTAGCAAAATTCTGTAGAACATAAACCTTGATTGTCTCGGGCAATTCCTCGAGCAGTTTGTTTGCATATTGCTCATCCAACAGCAGCAGCCTTGTCGAGCCTCTCCACTTCGGCCGCTTCCCAAAATCCTCACCCAATAACCCGCTAAAATCATCAACATCGCTCTCCTCGCACTCAACCACCTCAACGAACGCCATGTCGTTCCTCCCAACCCCTTTCACCCCTCTTTTCTCCCCACCATCCATCATTTTCTTCTTCTTCTTAGGTCTAGAAATTTTCGCTAAATTCCTGAAATTAACGTACCCTTGCGAATTGAAAGTTCTAGCGAGCTTATCTCGATACAAAACCGAATTCAACAGCTCCCCATCCCCCTCCGCTTTCCCGTAAATCCTCCGATTCAATGCAACCAGTTCTTCAGCTTCAGCTTCAGCTTCGGATTCCGCTGTGTTATCCGAGTTAGGCAAGATGTTTTTGATTTCGTCGTCGATTTCGTCGCCGGAGACTCTGGCGATGTTCTTAATGCGAGGCCAGTTGAGGAGGTGGCCGCGGAAGCGGTGTTCGAGCGTGGAGCATATCTCGGAGGGGACTCTGAGAGCGGAAATTTCAAAAACTCGGGTGAAGGCGGCTTCGTCGAGGGATGTGACATTCTCACCGGAGGTGTGGTATTTAGGTAATTCGAGGGGGAAAGGGGAGTGGCCTTTATGGAGTGAGGGACCGTACGAGAGATTTGAGAAGGCAGTAGCGGCGGCGGCGGCGGTGGTGCTGGTTGCGTAGGAGTGGAGGGGAATGAATAGGGGTTTGGCGATGGGCCGCGCCGGCGAGTTGAATGTGAAGAATGGGAGACGGTGAGGGCGGAGGAAGGCTATTTTTGCAGCCATTTTTTTATATTATTTGGAGGGTTTATCTCTGATGAATTCAACCAACAAAATTGAAAATACTACCCTCCACTACCAGTTCGAATACTATACTATAAAATTTATATTTTATTTAATTATTTTATTAATGCGGTTGAATCAATGTAATCTTTTCTATGGAATAACTGAGCTATTTTCGTACACGTTTTTTTCTTCTTCTTAAATCAGTAAACACGTTTAGATGTTACAATTAAATGCACTTAATAGGCAAATACTATCTTTGCAAATACTATGAAAGTGGTCAAAAAGTGATGTAAATGAGGACGAATATATAGTAGTACCATGCATTGAAATTGAATAAATAATTTATGTTCTTACACTATTTTTGCATTAGACATTAATTTCTACCGAGTCATATAGTTCTCTTGTATGATAATGTAAGAGAGAGCAATTTTTAATTTCTAATCAATTATAGTACTCATGTAGGAGATCAATTGGTGAAAATTCACATGTATATCAAATAAAACTCTCTTGAATCTATATCATGCAGTAAAACATAATTAAACTGTAAAGTACAATAAATTCAAGAGATTTTATTGGACAATAAATATTATTATTATTATTATTATTATTATTATTATTATTTTCTACAAAGGAAGGCAAAATTATAAGGAGAAAGCAAAAAAAAAAAACGAAAAAAAAAACTCTTGATACATAAATAACATAGCATGCAAGCTTTTTTCAAGAATCTTGGTAAAAGCCGATTACACAACAATTAATCTAACCCAATGCTGCAAAAACTTCACTCCTCCACTAGTGGAAGAAGTTGAAAGGAAAGGCCAAGACAAGATCAACCATCCCTCAAACAATCTCTACATACAATCCTTACAACTAAATAATTAATGATTTTATATATATATATATACACATATGTTCTTCAAAAATATCATCCTCCCTAAAGGCTAAGAACTAAATCAACCTAGTACGGTTCCTCCACAGCAACCCTTCCATGATGACTCTCTTCTTGTACTCTTCTGTCGACTCCACAACATTGCCGCCGCTGTTTACAGAACGGCCTCCGTCGTCACCGCCACAGGGGGCGAAGAAAAGCCACATGGAAGTGCACGTGACTATGGCGAAAGCCTTCCCCCCCAAAACCAGAGCTACTAAACAAACCAGAAGAACGTACATCCCAGTAGCGAAACTGTAGCTGCATTTGCTGCTGCACGCTATTTTTAGGTTTTCGCTCGTCTGATTCAAATCGAGGGAAGCTGATTCGTTGATTCTTCTGGATCCTGACCTGGAATTGGACGAAATCGAAGATGCGCAGGAAACGGAGGAGGACGAAAATAAAGACGAACGGTCGGAATTGTCCTGGAAAATTTCTTCGGGTGCGGATAATTGATCGTTGTATGGATGCTTGGATAATTGATCTTTGTATGGATGCTTGGATTTTCTTGTCCGGAATTTCTTCACCTGTTGATTTGATTTCGATTTCGCAGAGATTAATATATATCACAAAAATTGGGGGAAGATTAACCAAGTTATTCACATACAATTGAACCTCTATAAATTAAAATTAATTCAGTCGGGACTTGACTAGCAAAATTCTATTAATTTAGCGAAATATTAAATTATCCAACTAAATATTTAGTAGAATCTGAAGAAGAAATTATAATTCAAATAAAGTATTAATTTATCGAGTTTTTACTGCAATTTATTAGAAAGAAGATAAAAAAATAAAAAATAAATAAATGTGAAAATTAAAGGCAAATAGACGACAAAATAGGAACATGATGAAGTTGACGGGAAAGGCGGAGTTTCTTACAAGAGGTGATTTGCAGAAAGCGGCCTTGAGCGAACCGGAAAAGATTTGGCGGGAAGTCTTCCTTCTTCGGCCGCACTCGTCGTCGGAAGACGGAGGCGGAGACGCCGGCGGTGCATCCTCGTCTGCGGGGGAGGTGAAACACGCGAAGACCTTCCTCCTCCACCGGTTATTCAAGGATTCCATCGATGGCGCCATCTTTTTTACTTTGAAAAAATAATATCTGATCAGGAAAACTTTCTTTTAGCGGTTTATAAATAACATGAGAGAGAGAGAGAGAGAGAAGAGAGAGAGAGAGATCTGGAATGCTAAGAATAGTGGCGTAGATTTAGGGGTGGGTGGGTGAAGTGGTGTTTGAGAGAAAGAAGGAACGTGTGTGTTTTGAATGGTATATGATGCGGCGTGAGGGAAATAAGGCAGTTATTGTAATTTATTACTGACTCGATAATATTCCTTATATCTCGTGCGAATAAGTGTAGTAAAACTAGGAACAATGGATTTTCTTTTGGGGTGAATTACGTTTTGCACCACATAATTAGCCCTAATTAGCGCTTTGCCCCCTCACATTTCAAAACTGGTAATGCCCACCCTTAATTTTTAATTTTCATGGCACAATGCACCCTACATCAGTTTCTTATGATATTTTTAGCCCAAAAATTAATATATTAGTATTACGATATTTTAACTTCTGGAATAATTTAAAGCCTTATTCTAAATAATACATTTAATTTCTATTAACTAGACATTAAAAATAATAATACTAGTGTCCTACAATTCTTATTCCATTTTTTATTTTTTAGCAGATATTAATTTTATGGAAATTAGAAATTTTGAATTATTTTGAAAATTAAAACTGACTCAATATTAGAAATTACAGTTAAACCTCTATAAATTAATACATTTGGGACAAAAATTGATACATATCCTTAAATTAAATTGAAAAAATTGAAATGTTAAATGTCGTTTCAAATTTACAAATGTTGTTTTGATTTTGACATATTTTTATTTTTATTTTGGCAATTTCGAAACACGAAAACGGTAGTCCTTTGGGTTAGCTTTCTAATCCAACTTAAATCTGCTATTTGGATGTCGTGTGACAAAGTTATGCATGAATGAGTTACATTTTGAATTTTAGATACCTCAATTCATCAAAGTTGTGGGCAATATCCATTGATTCATGTATATCTTTCTCGTCCGACATCCAATTTTGGTGATTCAAGTTGGATTATAGAACTAACTCAGAATACTACAAGTTCTATTTTTTCGAGTTTTGCAAAATTTGGAATTAAAAATGATCAAAATCACGTTTGAAATCGTAACGCTATTATTAAAGCTTGAACGACGTTTATTACATCCCTTGAAAAAATCACCTAATTTATTTATTTATCAAATGTAGCATTTATAAAAGGGTAAATTCCACTTTATCCCCTTGTACTTTGGTTGGATATCACTTTACCCCCTTATACTCTCAATTGCATCGATTTGCCCCCTTGTACTTTGGTTCGATATCACTTTACCCCCTTCTACTCTAAATTCATCGATTTGCCCCCTGTACTTTGGCTCGATATCACTTTACCCCCTTCTACTATCAATTGCATCTATTTGCCCTCTTGTACTTGAAAAATTATCTCATTGTGGTCCTCGCCGTTAGTTTTCAGACCTTTGACCTTAACACCGTTTGATCTAAGTTTGAAAATTACAAAAAAACCACCCTCTCAGTTTAATAATTATTAATAAAATAAAAAAAAAGAAAAAGAAAATTGTGGCTGGATTCGTGGACTATGTTTTCTCGCTGTCTTGAATTTTTTATTATTTTATTTTTTGTTGTTTTCTATTTTTTTTATTTTTTTTATAATTACTTAAACTGGACATTTTAGTAATTTTCATACTTAAATCAAACGGTCTTAATGTCAAAGATCTGAAAATTAACGGCGAGGGCCACATTGAGACAATTTTTCAAGTAAGGGGGCAAAACGATGTAATTGAGAGTAGCTAGAAGGGGGTAAAGTGATATCGAGCCGAAATATAAGGGGGCAAATCGATGAATTGAGAGTAGAAGGAGGTAAAGAGATATCGAACCAAAGTACAAGGGCAAATCGATGCAATTGAGAGTATAAGGGATAAAGTGATATCAAACCAAAGTACAAGGGGTTAAAATGGAATTTACCCTTTATAAAATTATTTAATATATACAAATTGTTTCCATGTCCAAATTCAACGGCACAAAAACAATTTTTTAATACCACCACCACTCCCACAAAACTGGTAGCTTTCCTCCTTATCTGTTGGCAAAAACTAAAACCATGTTCTCTCTCTCTCTCTAACTTCTCTCTCTAAAACATACCCATCCAATCCAGCTCTATATATATCACAGCTGATTCCCACTCAATCTTCAACACAAACACAGACAAATTAAAAAAAAAACACAAATAACATATAAATCTGAAGCAGTGAAATTGAAGAATGAGTAGTTCGAGGAGAGCGTGGTTAGTTGCAGCAAGCATCGGAGTAGTTGAAGCGCTGAAGGATCAAGGATTCTGCAGATGGAATTATGCGGCGAGGGTTATTCAACAACGTACGAAGAACAACCTCAAATCTTACACAAATCAGGTTCAAAAAATATCTTCTGCTTCTTCTTCTTCAATGGTTTCGATGAAGATGAAGGAGCACAGATTGAAGGAATCTGAGGAGTCGCTTAGAAAAGTTATGTATTTGAGCTGTTGGGGTCCCAATTGAAATTCAGTTTTAATTTAATTTCCCCCAAACTTTTACGGGTTTATTGCAATTAGTACCCCTGTGTAATATCCAATTGCTAAAAAACTACATAATGTTGTTTGAGTAAAAAGCAGTTTGCCCCCTAAACTAATGGTCATTTTGCACTTTACCCCCAAACAAAAAAGACTTACACGGGTTTACCTAAACTCATTAGTCCGTTACACGGTGCCCCCTAAACTCAATTTTCCGACAATTTTGGACGGAATGTTATATCATGTGCGATGCACGTGTGATTTGCGGGGGTAAATTTGTCTACTCACTAAAATTCTATATATTAAATATAAATTAATCATTAAAAAACAAAAAAAAAAAAAGAAAAAAAAAAAAAGAAAATTGTGATCTTCTTCCCCAACAACCTCCCGGACCCATTTCCATGCCAAAAGAACAGAGAGCAACGAACGGAGCAATTAAACCTCATCTCCATCCATAAAAATATTTTCAAATTAATTCTACATAGAATAAAAAAATTTACAGGAATTGATTCTCATTCCTAATTTACTCATTCCTTCTTCGATTCCGCCGAGGGTGTCTTCAAACATCTCGTCAATCAAAATAATCTAGACTCCAAATTTTGCTCATTCCTTCTTCGATTCCGCCGCCGCCGTTTTGACGGGCTCCTTCCCCGGCTTCACATCCCCATTAGCCTCGTCTGCCGGCGCCGAAATGGAGTCGTTTCGCAACGGGATGGTGGGAGGTTGTGGGCTGGGGTTTGGGCGATAGGTCTCGTTGTCGGAGTTGGGTCCTGGGTTGCTTTGGTAGACTTGATTAGGGGAATTCCGACGGCGGAAGGAGTGGGAATTGGAGGCGGCGCAGAGGAGGAATTTGGGCTTAAGCAAGATGGGAACAAGAATAATTCTTTTTACAGAAGTTGAGAATTAGAGAGAGAGAGAGAAAGAGATTTGGCAGATTAAAAAAATGAAAAATGAAAAGGAGAGATAAAAAAGAAAAAGGAAAAATTAAACTTTAAGTCAAGATGCGAGTGTATAGACAAATTTAACCCTATCAATTTCACATGTGGCGCGCGTGCACAGATTTCCGGTGAATTTTGCCGGAATATACCACTTTTTGGGCACCATGCAACAAAAACTCGAGTTTAGGTAAAAACGTGCAAAAAAAAATTGTTTAGGGGGCAAAGTGCAAAATGGATCATAGTTTAGGGGGCAAACTGCTTTTTACTCGTGTTATTTTATTGGCAAAATCCCCATATGATTCAAATTTTTATAGCAGACAAACCCCAAAGTTAAGGCCTATTTACCAAAAAAAACTCATTTTTTATAGGGCCAACCTCCTGAGGTGTGGTTACGAAAAAAAACCCTATTGTTTAAGTAATTACAGTCACTTCTCTTCTTAAACATATTTACATCAAATTTATGTCATTCGGTTATTTACCGAACCAAATTGTATATTCAGTTTGGTAAATGATATGAAATGTTGGCTTACCGAAAATTTGGTTCAATTTTACCGATTTAACATCCCTAAATTGAGGGGTATTTTTGTAAGATAATACATAGTTTAGGAATGACTGTAATAACCTTAACATGGGGTTTTTGGTAATTTGACCATAACTCATGGGTGGTCCTAGTTTGCCTTTTTTTTTATAATTACATCACTTCCCTGCAATTTGTGGATTTCTTACATTAACACCCTTTTATAGGGGGTTAGATGTAAGAAATGTACAATCTTATAGGTGTGGATGTAATTTCTCAAAAAGAGGATTTTTTTTTTTTTTGATAAATAGAATTTAACTCAGGGAAGTTGTTGTAATTTACCAACATATATAATCAGACATTAACTCTAATAACTCCATCTTTTACACTTTTTTCTGTTTCCTTTGAGAGATCGATCTTTTACACTTAGAATCTATAAATCTGTTGGATTATGTTGAAAGAATCATCTTTGTTAGATATGTTACAAAAGGGTACAAAATTTATGTTCCAACGGTTCTATTACGTGATTTATTTTAAAAACAAATAATACATATATTAATGTGCGTGGAAATCACCGGATGTGTAAATTGGTGATATCGTAACTTGTTTCAATATATACACACTCGACATTCGAACCACTCATTTTTTTTAACAAAGCTAAGAGTTTGGTGAAGAGAAAGACCACGCCCATTATTCAAGGGGTAAATTGATAAATTGCCACGCTTGAACTGTACATAGAATCTCTCGAAGTGAGAATTCTAAGTTTTAGTCATAATTAATTAATCAATTAAATACTTCGATAATATTATTTGATATTTGGTTTCTTCACTAACTTTTGAATAATATTTACAAACAATTAATGATAATGCAAGACTGGAAATTATTTAAGGATCAAGAAAACAAATTATATATATATAAGAACATGAACATATATAGGCTAAGAAGAACACACACAAAAAAAAAAAAAAATTTAACAAAGGCTGATACATATATTATAGCTTTTTTCATCCATGATAGACCGACCAGACCAAATTAAATCAGGATTTATATATAATTATCCAAAACAAACAATGAACCCTAATTAATCTTATATATAAAAGAAAGAAACACTGGACAATCCTAAGAAAACCCTAATGGTATTTTTGTAAATATTTATTTTTAATTATTTTTTCTCTACTAATTTCTAACTATAACTTTTAACAATTATCAAAACTGAAACTAAACCGTGAAAAATCCTACCTCAATGGTTAAATCTTAATCTATATATTTGGATTATAAATCTCAATATGTAAAATTTAAAAAAACTAATGTTATATAAAATATGAATAATACTACATTATTAAATTTTACAATGTTAGTGTACTATATTTTCTTATTTTGTATTAAATCGATTTTTTTTTTCACTTTTGAAATAATATTCCGTGCATCGCACGGGGAAAATATGCTAGTAATATCCAAAACAAACAAACAATGAACCCTATATACTAATATCCAAAAAAAAAAACAATGAACGTAACCCTAATAATATCGAAAACTTATAATCTGATGATCAAACTCCAAAATCACAAAATTAATATTAAAATAAAAAACCCTAATTATTTTCATTATGTGGGATCTTGACAAGAGCAAGATGCAACTCTTGATCGATCCTAAAAGACCAAAGCTGGACCACATCATCAGGTTCGAGATGATTCCTCTGCGCAACGTTACTCCATGCTCCGTTCAATACGTAATTTGAAGACGTATTCTTGCCGTTAGCCTTGTTCATATCCCATCTGCACAGCTTCACTTTCTCCAGTTCCAACGAGGGCTCGATAATCGTGACCTCTTTGAAATTCATCTTGTTGTTGCCGTCGCGTGTCGTAAGAAAATGAGTCTCCTCGTCGGTCAAGAAAGTATGATCAAGAACCTGCGTGAAAGGGATGGACAGCCTGTTGTTTCCCTTAGCCAAATCTGTCTTGAACAATCCCTTTTCGATAACCAGCTTCTCCTCCGATACACGTTTTCCTCCTTGCGCTAATCTTCTTATCACCTCCTTGAATTCTTCCGGCAGAGGACGCGGCGGTGGCTGTGACGACGACAACCCTTCTCCGCTGGATTCTTTTTTCTTCTTCGGACTATTATTATTGGACGACGACTTCCTTCTCTTGGCCGCCGATCCCTTGCGATCGGAATATTCTTCTTCTTCTTCTTCTTGTTCTTGTTGTTCTTCGTATTCTACTTCCCAATCGACGAAGTCGTCGGGGATTTCAAATACAGGCTTGCTCCTGAATTTTCTTTTGTTTCTGTTCTTCTTCTTCTTCATCTCATCTGCTTCCATTAATTCATGTAATCTTTGATTGGCCAATCTAGCCAAAGTCTTGAATCTGTTGTTTTCATCGCGTCTGAATTTTCTACACGCCATCGATCTTCTTACTAATAATTCTCTCGATAGCCTTAGCTTGTTAATAATTGAATATACGTTTTGATAGTAATGGGATGATGAATGCATCTATAGAGAGAGATTAAGTGGTTTCCAAGATGGTATAGAACTAGGATTTTCCTTATTTATAATTCATGCAATTAATTAAGGAATCTTTTTTATTTTCGGATTTGCCCTTACTCAATCTTTGTTTAGTTGTTTTCAGATTTTTTCCTAATTGAATTAGAATTGGCAGCCTAGTTTGATTAATTTGCCCGTTACCTGTACCCAAAGCCAAAAAAATATAAAAAAAATCAAAATCTTAATTGGGAAGTGCAAAAATTCACTAGGCCCAAAATAAAAGTGAGCCCAACCTATAACTGGATTGGATTTTGTATCTCTTTGGATATTTTTTAGATACAATTAATTAATTAAATGGTATATTACACCACACTTGAGAGGTATGATCAAATTACGAAAAAACTCCTCATGTTTGGGTAATTACAACCACCCATCAACTATAAATCTTCTTACACGTCCACCATTACGGTTCCAAATTTAGTGGAATCTTCAAGATTATATGGAATACTCTCAAATTTGGACCCGTCTTATTCCATTCGAGTTCCACATTTTGAAGCAAGATGATCATAAGATGTGGTTTTTGACTTGTATATATCAGATTGTGGTGCATCCGAAACTGTATTTTTGCACAAAATGAGTACAAACTAGAAAACATTCGACGAAATCTAGATGATTATGTCGTTCACTTGGAGACGTAAGAAGATTCATAGTTGCGGGGTAAATGTAATTATCCAAACATGAGATTTTTTTATTAAGTTAATATACCTCGTGGGTAGTTGTAATTTATCCTTAATTAAATAATTGTAGTTTATTTAATATTTAATTAGTTTTTTGAGAAATTGTGTTCTGCCACAGTGCCACTGGACATCCTTATAACAATAATCAACATATCAACTATAAGTTTTAATATGACTAGCTACTGATCTATGCCTTGATGTATAATATAAACATGCATGAATGCAAAATATTACTTATAAGTTTTATTTAACGGGTGTAAACGTGCCGATTACACGTGAAAGAAGATCGATCGAAGATTAATTAATATCTACCATAATTTAATTACCTGTCAAATAAACGATTGAAAAAAAACAAGAAAGTGAAAAATTTATATAGGAGCAAGAAGAAATTAAAATTATAACAACATCAACATAACTAATTAGGCAAACTCGATCGATACGTTGCCGTTTTCATCGTAATATAGACCAGACTTAACCAGGATTTATTGTTCTTTACCTATTCAATAAACAAATAATGAAAACCCTAATACCCCAAACTTATGATCCAATAATAATCGAACCATATTCAAACTCCAAAATCACAAAATTAATTATATAAAAAAAACCCTAATTATTACTATTATTTGGGATCTTGACAAGAGCAAGATACAACTCGTGATCGATCCTGAAAGACCACAACTGGACCACATTCCCAGGTTTAAGATTATTCCTCTCCGCAACGTGTCTCCATGCTCCGTTTATTACGTAATTCGAAGACGTATTTTTGCCGTTGGCCTTGTTCATATCCCATCTGCTCAACTTCACTTTATCCCGTTCCAACGAGGGCTCAATAATCGTGACTTCTTTGAACTTCATCTTGTTGTTACCGTCGCGAGTCGTAAGAAAGTGAGTCTCCTCGTCCGTCAAGAAACTATGATCAAGAACCTGCGTGAAAGGGATCGATAGCCTGTTGTTCGCCTTAGCCAAATCTGTCTCGAACAATCCCTTTTGGATAACCAGCTTCATCTCCTCCGTTATATTTCTCCCTCTGCCAATTTCTTGGATCACCATCTTGTATTCTTCTGGCAGAGGCGGCGGTGTGTGGGGCCCGTTCCCGATTGGTTCTTTTTTCTTCTTTGGAATATTATCGGACAACTTCCTTCTCTTCGACTTGTTGTCGGAATATTCCTCGTCTTCTTCTTGTTCTTCTTCATCTTGATCTACTTTCCAATCATCATCGGCGGTTTCAATTAGTACTGCAGGCTTGTCTTCGATAATTATTCTTTTGGTTCTTGGCCGCTGGGGAGGGGACCACGTCGACGTGCTGGATTTCGATCGGGCGTGCTTCTTTGCTTCGATGAGTTCTTGTAATCTTTGGCGGGCCACTTTAACCAAAGCGTCGAATCTTGCAGTATCGCGCGCCATCGATCGATCTTCTTCGTAATTCTCTCGCCTTAAGTCAATATACTTCCAATTGAACAGAAAAAGAAAATATTTCGTGAAAGTTGGAATATGCGTTTGATAAAGTGAAGACCGATGTATATACATATATATATAGAGAGAGAGAGGGGGTTTAAGTGGCTTCCAAGATGGTATAGAACTAGGATTTTCCTTATATATAATTCATGCAATTAAAGAATCTTTGTTATTTTCCGATTTGCCCTTACTCAATCTTTCCTACTATAACTCAATCGTTGTTACGCTGTTTTCAGATTTTCCTAATTGAGTCAGAATTGGCAGCCTGGTTTAATTTGCCCGTATGTACTTCAGGTAGCGAAAAAAGAAAATCAAAATCAGTTCTTTGCAATTTGCTTATTTGAATAGTTGATGGGCCCAATTGGGAATTTCAATATGGAAGTGGGCCCAGCCCATAACTGGATTGGATTTTGCATCTCTTTCGATATTTAATTTGTTAGTCTATTATTACTTTTTTTTTTTTTTTTTTTTCATATATTGGTCGTGGAACGAGAAATCTTGCAATTTATAGTTGCCAATTTTTGTTAATTATATGATTAAAGGCCAAATTACGATAAACCCCCTCATGTTTGGATAATTACAATTATCCCCTCAACTCGAAATCTTCTTACCCATTCACTTTTGCGTCGTCAAATTCAACATAATTTTCTAGATTTTGTGGAATGTTCTTTAACTTGTACTGATTTTGTGCAAAAATACAGTTTCTGATGCACACAATCTAATCCGAATGTGGAGTTCGAGTGAGGTAAATCGAATACAAACTGATAAATATTCCACATAATCTCGAAGATATCACTAAATTTAACACCAGTAAAGTGAACGTGTAACTACCCAAACATAAGGGGTGTTTTCGTAATTGAACTTTACTTCAAAGTTGGACATAATTTACCTCATGGTTAAATGAAGAATACAATAGTTAAAATTGTGAAAATAGTAGCACCCTTATTTTATTAATTTTCAAAGAGAAGACTTGGACTTATAGAAGTCTCCCCATTTTCATAATTAATAAAATCAAAATTCAGCACTTAAAAAAAAGATTGGAAATTTAGTAGCCGCAAAGGAATTTTTTAATGTATGATACTATTCTTTTATTCATACAGTTGATCATCATATATCACTCATCTATTTCAAGCCCATCAAAAATTCAAAGTCAACAAAAAATATAATGTTTTCAGACAGAGTTAACTACTTCAAACTGAGATCTGTACTCTCTCTGTTTTATACCCCGGGTAAGAATTCCCAAAAAGACATGTTAATGTAACTTGCAAGAAAAGAAAAGAAAAAGATGAACAACATATGCATCATACTTCTCATTTCAACCTTACTGCCAAATCACACACTTTGCAAAGCAAATCACACCATACATATGACTAATAGCATCACATATGCAGACACTTTGGTTTCACCCGGCGGGATTTTCGAGCTCGGCTTTTTCAGTCCAGAAAGCTCGAGAAATTGGTACGTCGGAATATGGTTCAAGAACATCGCGTTGAAGACCCCGATTTGGGTAGCCAACAGACAAACCCCACTGAGGAACGCCACCTCAGCTGTCTTGAAGGTGATCCGACCGGGAATCTTGGTTCTTGTCGTCGACGAAGAAACCGTATGGTCTTCCGGCACGTCCAGGCTGGCGAACAATCCGATCGCGCAGTTATTGGACTCCGGAAACCTCGTTCTACGCGAGGAAAACGATGCTCGGCCGGAGAATTACCTTTGGCAGAGTTTCGATTACCTCTCTAACACGTTCTTAGTAGGTATGAATTTCGGGTGGAACTATATCACCGGTGTGGAGAGCTATCTATCGTCGTGGAAATCCGAAAAGGATCCGGCTTCCGGAGAGTTCACGTTGCATCTAGAACCTTCCGGATATCCGCAGCTGATCACGAAAAAGGGGGCGGTCATTCAGTACAGAATAGGACCGTGGAACGGTATTGCGTTTAGCGGGTCCCCCGACGTGAGCAGCGACCCCGCGTTCACGTTCACGCTGTACATGGACGAGGACGGTGTCTACTACAGGGGTGACGCTATCGACAGGTCAGCTATTACAATGTTTAGTCTGAATCCGAATGGCGTGGGCCAGCGCTCGATATGGGTTGACCAAACTCAGGAGTGGGTCCGTTACTTGAGCCTTCCGGCGGATAACTGTGATTCTTACAGTTTTTGCGGAGCGTACGGGAGTTGTAATATCGGCGAATTTCCCGTGTGCGGTTGCTTGGATAAGTTTGTGCCGAAAGATCCGAGTGGTTGGGCTAAGGCGGATTGGACGAACGGGTGCGTTAGGAGGACGGGCTTGAATTGCACAGCTGGCGAAGGGTTCTTGAAGTATTCGAGTATTAAGTTGCCGGATGCACGAGATTCGTGGTATAACGTTACTATGAGTCTCGACGAATGCAAAGTTGAGTGCTTAAAGAATTGCTCTTGCATGGCGTATACGAGTTTGGATATTCGCGGAAGAGGAAGTGGATGCCTGCTTTGGTTCGGGGAGTTGGTCGACATTCGAGTTTTGTCTGGAGGGGGACAGGATCTTTTCATCCGAATGGCTTCGTCTGAATTAGGTATGCGTAAGATTCTTTGTTAAAACATAAAAAAAAAAGAAAATTGTTTGCTAGTTTTATTAGATTGTGTATTATTGTTTGCATTGCAGGGACTAATGGCAAGAGAAAAGAAGTGCTAATCGGGAGTTTGACAGCAGTCGGAATTGCTCTACTCGGTTTGAGTGTGTTTGTGTACATTTGGAAGAGGAAGAAGAACGACAAAACGGGGGAAAGAGTTGGTAAGAATATACGATGTTTTGTGTGTTTTGTATTAATAATAGACGAAGATTAAATCAGCATCTCGATTGTATCTCCGTGTACTTTGTTTTGCAGGAATCCATACGGAAACCGAAAATAAAGACTTTCAACTGCCGTTGTTCGACTTGTCTACAATCTCGAAAGCTACTAATAACTTCTCGATCGAAAACAAGATTGGAGAGGGTGGATATGGACCTGTTTATAAGGTAACATTTTACGCATGAATGAATATAATTTCGGCAAATAGGACCTCTTGTTAATCACGACAATGATTATTTGTCTCGATTTCAGGGCACCTTAGAAGATGGACAAGTTATAGCGGTCAAACGACTATCGAAAACTTCCGACCAAGGAGTTGACGAATTCAAGAACGAAGTTATCTGTATTGCCAAACTTCAACACAGAAACCTCGTGAAACTTCCAGGGTGCTGCATACAAGGAGACGAGAAGATGCTTCTGTACGAATACATGCCTAACAAAAGCCTCGACTTGATTCTGTTTGGTGAGAAATTAAATTCCTTTAATCCATTGCTAGTGAATAAATTCCATTATAAATTCAAGAAACGTGCGAGACGGATACTAAATAAGGATATAAGTTTTTTTCGGCAGATGAAGAAAACAGAACGTCGCTCGATTGGTCTAAGCGATTCAATATAGTGAACGGAATCGCGAGAGGGCTTATGTATCTTCACCAAGATTCGCGTTTGCGAATAATCCATAGGGACCTTAAAGCAAGCAACATATTGCTGGATAGTGAAATGAACCCCAAAATATCGGACTTTGGTATTGCTAAGAGATTCAAAGGAAACGAGACGGAAGATAGGACCGGTCGAGTTGTAGGAACATAGTAAGTGTGAATTTATACATCATTAATTAATTCCGGTTTAATTAACATTTTTATTTTTTTGCCATGCAGTGGGTATATGTCGCCAGAATACGCGATGCATGGCAGGTACTCGGTAAAATCGGATGTGTTCAGCTTCGGTGTAATTGTGCTAGAAATTGTTAGTGGAAAGAGAAACAGTGGATCTTTTCGTGGGGATTATCGCGGCCTCAACCTTCTCGGACATGTAAATTTTTTTTTTTATCGTACGTTTTTGGTAATAATAAGGTCGATAAGTTGATATGATTAAGTTGATTAAAAAAACAGGCGTGGACGCTGCACAAAGAAGGAAGGTCACTCGAATTAGTTGACACGAGTTGTGCGAACAAGTTGGATAATTTAGGACAAGTTTTACGATTGATTCATGTAGGGCTATTATGCGTGCAACATCGCCCGGAAGATAGACCTTGCATGACTTCAGCGGTCGGAATGTTGACCGGTGACGTGGCGCTGACTCACCCAAACCACCCTGGATTTTTTACAGAAATCGATACGGCTTTGACGGAAAGTAACCGGAGCTCCAATACAGCAAGCTCCTACAATGAAATCACTATCACGATGCCACACGGGCGTTAACTAGGATGAATATATGAAGCTTTCGGTTGAGAGGATCGCTGCATTATTGTTTTTATTTTATTTTTTTGTTTCAGAGGATCGACACATTTATTGTATGCAGATTGCAGACTATAAAAATATTGAATAGAACTTACAGCACCGGCCATGAAACTTCTCTCAGGTGTGAACACAAATCAATAAAAAAAAGAAAAAAAGTATAGATAGAGAAAATAAATCAGCACACATAATCATGAGTCACAAGTCATGAATTTCTAAATTATTTCTCTAAATAAAATTTGTAGAAAAGTTGAAATCCATGTAACACTGAAACTTCAATTTTTTACTAAATAAAATTTGTAGAAAAGTTGAAATCCATGTAACAATGAAACTTCAATTTCTTAATATTTTTGTGTTTCGGACATGTTTTGTGTCGGAAACTTGTATGGACTATTTTGCAATTTCTAAAAAAATAGAAATATGTTTGAATATCAAATTTTTAAATATTTTTGTTAACTCCCTATCTATTTACATGTTTATCGCCATTTTTTGTGTCTGTTTTACGGTTCCTTCGACCCTATACCCGGTGATAAATACTGGGTGGGTCTTCTCCTGGCACGTGTTCTGTTTTTTTTTATTTTTCTAAAACAAAGGTAAACCCTAGCGGAAAATATATTATAAAAATACAAAAAGGAGACACGTGGCAGCAGAAGACCCACCAAATGTTTATCACTAGGTGTAGGTCGAACAAATAATGATTGACATAATCGTATAGAAATGAACAACCTCAATATTTGCCAGTTTTTCAAACATACGGCCGACTTTGAACGACATTGCCACTCAAGTCAGACACGTTGGTTTTACCAATAAAACCTCCACATTTCTCTAATGAAGAAAATTCCAGGACCAAATTTAAATCAAATCAGAAGAATTTTCACAATATTCTGCAGACAATGAAACAATATTTGCAGCATTTTCTCCTTCAATTATTCACTACACTTTTGGCGCCTGAATCCCTAAAGCAGAACCATGAAAAGATCGATTGTAATTTCATCTTTTTTAATTCACTTATCATGCTTCCTTTCCATCCATGGAATATCCAGCGCAAATGACACCATAAACACAACTCAGATCATTAGAGACGGCGATACAATCATTTCGCCGGCGGAGAGTTTCGAACTGGGATTTTTCCGACCAGGGAACTCGACAAATTATTACCTTGGAATATGGTACAAGAATGTCACAGTCAGAACTCCGATTTGGGTCGCCAACAGAGAAAACCCTGTACTAAATATCGCGTCAGCCGCCTTAGAACTCATTTCCGGCGGCCGATTACTTCTCCGGGACGAAAGCACCAACGCAACGATATGGTCTTCCAACACTTCGAGAACCGCACACCACCCGTTCGCTCAATTGCTCGACTCAGGAAACCTCGTCATCCGCGAAGCGGACGACGATCGGCCGGAGAATTACCTCTGGCAGAGCTTCGACTATCCGACGAACACCTTCTTACAGGCCATGGACATGGGCTGGAACTTAATCACGGGCAGAGAACGCTACATTTCGTCGTGGAAAACCGAAGAAAATCCATCTCCGGGAGATTTCTCGTTTCGTCTCGATATTACAGGTTACCCTCAAGTGGTCATCAACAGAGGGAGCACCGTGCTGCATAGGCTTGGACCGTGGAACGGCATGCGGTTCAGCGGGACTCCCAGCGTGAGACGGAACCCCACTTTCACGGCTGGACTGTTCATGAATAGTACAGTGGTGTACTATAGAGAGGATTCGCTGGACAGGTCGGTTGTTTCGAGGTTCACGTTGAGCCAGAGTGGGGTGGGTCAACGGTTGACTTGGGTTGACCGGAGCCAAGAATGGGTCGTCTATTACAACTTGCCCGCAGACATATGCGATACTTACAGATTGTGCGGCGCGCATGGGAGTTGCAACATCGGAAATTCTCCTGCTTGTGGGTGTTTGGACAGATTTGTGCCGAGAGACGAAGAGGGTTGGGTTCGATCTGATTGGTCGGGAGGGTGCGTAAGAAGGACTCCGTTGGACTGTCCGAACGATGTCTTTTTGGGTTACTCTGGGATTAAAATGCCCGATTCTCGATTCACTTGGTTTAACGAAAGCTTGAATCTTGAAGAGTGTAGGAGTGCGTGCTTGAGGAATTGCACTTGTACGGCTTACTCGAATTTGGATATAAGGGGAGAGGGAAGCGGTTGCTTGCATTGGTTTGGCGACTTGATTGATATTCGACTGTTGTCGGGGGAAGAACAGGTGATTTATATTCGAATGGCTGCTTCTGAATTAGGTGAATTTTTGATTTTTTTAAAATACCCCATTAAAGATTTTTCTTGTTTTGTTTGAATGTACATAACACACATAATGATTCTTGAAAATGTTACAGATTCCAACGGAAAGAAAGGAAAAACGGTTGTAATAATTGCGGTTTTGACATCGTTGGGGGTTGTTGTTCTGCTAGTTCTGTGCCTGGTGCTGTTTATTTGGAGAAGGAAGAAGATCGGTCAGAAGCTGACAGAAGAAGGTTTGTATATAACATTCTATAGGCGTTTTTGCCTACTTTTGAACGACTCGGTTTTATTACATTGTCCATGATTCTCGTACTGCAGGAGGGCGTAAAGAGAGTCCCGAGGAAGACCTAGAGCTGCCTATATATGACTTATCGACTGTTACTAAAGCTACAAATAACTTCTCGACTAGCAACAAGCTTGGGGAAGGTGGATTTGGACCCGTTTACAAGGTTAAAATATGCGTACACATCTTTCTTGATTTTTTTTTAGGACATATATGACAAAGTAATAAGGAGAATTAAAACATCATAAGCATAATACAGATTTTTTTATTACATTTAGGGGATACTGGATGACGGAAAGGAAATCGCAGTTAAACGGCTATCTCAAACTTCAATGCAAGGAATTGACCAGTTCAAGAATGAAGTCATCTGCATAGCCAAGCTTCAACATCGGAATCTTGTGAAGCTATTAGGATGCTGCATCGAAGGAGTCGAAAAGATGCTGATTTACGAGTACATGCCTAATAAAAGCCTCGACTTGTTCCTATTTGGTGAGCCCATTTCCTTATAAGCACAAATATAGTTAAAAAAGTTATAAAGAACCAATCCCAGCAGAAAATATTTATTAACCATGCAATTAAAAATAAAATTAATTAACAGATGAAGCAAAGAGTAAAGAGCTCGACTGGCCAAAACGGTTCCACATTATAAACGGTATTGCTAGGGGGCTAATGTATCTTCATCAAGATTCTCGGCTAAGAATTATCCATCGGGATCTCAAAGTTAGTAACATATTATTAGATAGTGAAATGAATCCCAAGATATCGGATTTTGGCATGGCCAGAAGTTTTGGAGGGAACGAGACCGAAGCCAACACAAATCGAGTCGTCGGAACATAGTGAGAAGAATCTCAATTTTTTTGCAATTTTAATTGCTCTTTTTTTTTTGGAAGTTTTTATTTAATTAACGAATAATCATGTGCAGCGGCTATATGTCGCCGGAATATGCTGTGGATGGGCTTTTCTCGTTGAAATCGGATGTATACAGCTTCGGTGTTTTAGTGCTCGAAATCGTGAGTGGGCGGAGAAACAGAGGGTTTCATCACAGAGATCACCACCATAACCTTCTTGGACATGTAAGTATCTTGCTGTAATAACTAATATTACTATTTACAGATAAACCTCTATAAATTAATACAGTCGGGACTAGCAAAATTCTATTAATTGCGAAATATTAAATTATCGAACTAATAGTTTAGAAGGTTTTTTTACTGAGGCGGGACCCAAAAAAGAAATATTATTTAAACGAGGTTATTAATTTATCGATGTTATGATGTACTACTAATGTAATAAAATTGAAATCTCTTTTAAATATGTTTTAAGGCATGGATACTGTACAAAGAAGGGAGGTCGTTGGAATTGGTGGACAATAATATTATAGTCGACTCGATTTACGTGTCTGAATTACTACGGCTAATACACGTGGCGCTATTATGCGTGCAACAAAGTCCGGAAGATAGGCCAAGCATGTCGTCGGTCGTTTTGATGTTGGGAAGTGACGGTGTTCTGCCTAAAGCAAAACAGCCTGGCTTTTTCGCCGAAAGAAATGTTTTCGGTACCGAAAATACGACGAGCACGGTTGTTACGAGCTCTTCGAATGAATTCACTATTACACTATTGGAAGCTAGATAGTTGCCACTTGTCATAACATACATACTATACTATGATTGTAATGAGATTGTAATTTTGTTTGCTCCTTTAATTAATAATAAATTAGAAATAGGTAAAATGTTAAATATCTATTTTTTGTAATTAAAAGATTAAATATCTTATTTATACTTAAATAGATATAGTTGAGCTTTCAAAGTATAGAGAATACATATTATATAGGGTATATAATACAACTAAACAAGGGCAAAATATATTTTAAAATGACCAATGTCTATATCATTTGGGAAAATTACAGTTTTCATCCCTCAAGTTTGTGCTGATTTCACATTTGGTCATTCATGTTAAAAAAAACACACATTTGGTCCTTCATATTTCAATAATTTAACAATTTGGTCATTTCTATTAATTTACCGTTACTTCGTCAGTTAAGGCAGTCATGGACACACGCTTGATCCCGTTAGTTCTAACAAAAAAAATGATGGAAATTTGATTTTTTTTTTAACATAATAAGGACCAAATGTGAAATTTGTGCAAATTGAGGGGTAAAAAATATATGTCTCCCAATAATAAATCATGGGGAATTTGAGCACCTAACTAAAAAGAAAAAAATATTGTTAATTTTTAGCACCGGCCTCTGTATAGTTTATTATGGCTTTATCACACGTTCCATTTCTTAGGTGATAAAATGACACATATACCCCTGAAATATAATAATATGACCGTCCCATACGGCATACTGCCTTCCTCCACAGACCAGACCATAGGATACAAGATTTAGAAGAAGGTGAAAGGCAATTTCGTGCATTAAAAACCAATCCAACCACCAAAGCAAACACGTCATTTCTGCGTTGATGATAGCCAACTATATCTTAGTTGTCCTAACCTACGCTTCTTCCAATAATGCCCCTGTCTCCTTCTCCGAAACCCCCTCTTTCCCTTCTCCCTCTATATATCATTCAATCCAATCCCCATTCTTGAAAACGCAATCATCCCTCGTAATAATCCCAGTAATAATCAATCCCTCGAAAGAATAATCCCACTTTTTTTTGTTTACAAATAAATGGCTGCAAAATTAGAGCAATCCGGGTTCGAAGATTTCCTGCCCCTAATGGCGGACAAGCTCGGCGGGGACGGATTGATTGGGGAGCTATGCAATGGGTTTCAGCTGCTGATGGATTCCGACAAGGGTGTGATAACGTTCGACAGCCTGAAAAAGAACTCAGCTTTATTAGGGCTGCAGGAGTTGTCCGATGAAGATCTGTGCAGTATGATGAAAGAAGGAGATTTCGATGGAGATGGGGCGCTCAATCAGATGGAGTTTTGTGTGCTCATGTTCAGATTAAGCCCTGATTTGATGGGCCACTCTCAGTTTCTGTTGGAGGAGGCTCTTCTTCAAGATCATGCCTTTCAAGACTCGTTTTTTTAACTTTTCTTTGTAATCATCTTTTTTTTTTTTTTTTTTTTTTTATAATTAATCATAAATCCAATAATCTGACAGAATGTAATTCAATTATTGAGCTGATTTTTTTCTTTCGAATTTGTTTGAATTGTCACAAATTAGTATCTTCTTTATGCAGTTACCATGTGATATTCTTTTTATATATATATAGTTGATTATTTTACTCTATATCATCAATATCAAAAACCATGATCTAGATGCTCATATAATTTCACATGTCTATATTGCATTGGTGTTATCATAGATGTTACTATGATTCTTGTTTCATTTTCTATCCTTCTTGTTGAATTTAACTCTGGTAATATCAGGACGATGTCAGTTTGATTCTTCTTGCGTGAGTTTTCAACATCACCAGAATCTCGATCGGTTGTCGTTTCTGCAATACCGAGAGGGTTTTTCCGGTGTAGAAGTTCAGAAAAGGGATTTTATGTATATTATGTATTTTAGCAAAAGAACATTAGAGAGTAAGAGTTTGAGTGAACCTCATATTCATAGATCTTTCGTTCCTTGAAAAACAAACTTCATTACAATTTTTAACCTAATTATCTCCTTATTTTGGGTATGCCGCATTTAAGTTGAATGAATTTCAGCTTTCTTAAAATGCCGACCCAAGATCTCACCATAACACCTTTGTGGCTCTACCTCGTGTCGCCGTACGATGAAATGTGTGAACGACATTTTCTCCTTGCTAGGGTTTTATATACCCTTTTAGCAGGACTGAGCTTCTATCTTTGGGCCGCCCTTCTTGACCCTTACGTGTAGTTGATCTTATTCACTTAAACAAGACCTATATGGGCGAGATAACCCATATCATCTGCACAACAAGGGTTTTATCGTAATTTAGCTAGACTAGTTAAGGCCTTGTCCACCGATAACTATTCGTAAAATGATAATAAAGTTGTGGGGATCGAACAATCTTTCTTAACAAGGGGTCTCTCTATTTTGGTTCAAAATGAACTAAATTGGTATTGTTTGAATGGCAAGGAAAGCAGGGGAAACATGATCATATCAATGTAACTTTAGAGTAATATAATATATTGAGATTTGTTTGGCTACGTGGGAATGCAATGACAAATATTTCTTGCAAGGTAAAAATAAACAATGCGTGGAAAAGTGTGTAAGAAAAGTTTGTTGTTATGGTACAGACAGCCATGTGAGAACACAATGATTCATAGGCAGAATGAGAATGGAAGAAAGAATAAGCAGAGGGGAAAATTAAATAAGTTTTACTTTGTCAAATAATATTTATTTGGCTTTGGCAGCAAGCCAAACAAGGCCTGAAATCATTGTGGAAAAAGGGTGCAACGCTTCTTGATGCAAAAGCCGTTTCTTTGTTCTTTCTTTGTTTTGTGGGCCCTTTGTTAGAATGAGAATCATGATCTACGTATCACGGTCACGGAAACGATGATACGGGAAAATTGGTATTACAATAATTCTAAACGAAAAAAGGGATAAAAATCAAAATATTTATACGCGGATTTATTTTTCCTTAAAATTGTTATAGTAGTGCAAGATTTGCACCCTCAACACCTTTTTCTTCTCAATCGTACTCATTCAAACGTCAGAAAAGCCCACCTATCGTCGGATTTATGATCGGTGGGATGAACAAAACGACAAGAGAATAATTAAAGAAAGAGATAATTGGAGAGAAAGTGTGAAGTATGTTATCGATTGTGTCAAAACGGTACCCTAATAGGAGTTGATACATTTGTTTATATAGGGTACTATCTAGCTATGGTTATTTCATAATTTAAAGTCTCTTTAGTCGTTCGAGATTTACATTGATTGTTCAATCATTCATCCTAATTTACACGTTTTTCTTATCTATTTGTGGAGGATATATCTGAATCGCACCCTCCAATGGTCGTAGGACCAGATCGCCACATACTGCTCCTTCCCTTAACATCTTCAGATGCATTGGGAGCATAGGGCGAGCTCTCAGCCCACCTGATCTATAACGGCCCATATGGCGAATGTTTGGCTCATTTCGACTTTCATGCTTCACTGGGCGAGTTATGTTCGAGACTGACGCTCACTCTTGGCCCATTTTACTTGTTGCGATCCACTGAACTCTCTGTTTGACAGACTAAAAAGATGGGGGTGCGATCAAACATCTAACTGGCCACCATAAATTGCATATATAAAATCATAATGTCTAAAATGAAAAATAAATAAATAAATATTGTTTGTACATTAAATTTAAATTTTTCGAAGATGGAGGCAATTGAAGTTTTAATTTGTGGAAAGGAGTAAAAGGGAAACATGAAGTTTAACCTTAAATAATTAACTTCATAGAACAAAATTTTGTTTGCACAGACAAAATTAGATAAATAATATTTTTCTTAGGAGCTCAAATGTTACTAATAGAGTTATTCATTTGGTAAAATCGTATTAAATTGTAAAAAAAATGTTTATTTATTTAAAAATAGCATTTGGTCAACATGCAACCTGTGATGCACTAAACAATTTCTTGTCCATACCTAAACCCAACCCTTTTTCGAAAAAAAAAAAAACCCAACATAAAAAGTCAATTAACATCATCCAACCACAAAAAGGGTCCATGCTCAAATAATTGAAAACCCAACCAACCCCATCAAAAAGATTAACAAATTAAATAAATAATATAAAATAAAATAAATAAATTGATAAATAAAATGATTATGGGCGTGACAGCAACCAGTCATCATTAGAGTCACAAAGCTTCAGCTTCAAATGAGTCCAACGACGTCGTGTCACTCTTTTATTTGTGCAATTACTTTTAATTGATCAATTTTAATTAAAGTTAATTATAACTAAACGCTGTTTTATAGAACTAATCCAGTGGGTTTAGTTCTCTACCACTGTATAAATAAGGAGGGTTCCTTCTCTGTTTTGTAAACAGCTGAAAAAGATTAAAAAAACGAAAAACCTTTGAAGCAGAAAGCGATTGAGTCGACAATGGCGACCAAAGTTTACATTGTGTAAGTATATAATTTGGAATATAATTATGTTATATTTATTCCTTTTCTTCATGATCCACTGTTTTTTTTCTTCTCCAGAACTTAATCGTGAATTCCTGATGCTTTAATTGCGTTTCTCTTTGTTGATTAGCCTTTTCATTTGTCGAATTGCGATCGGATGAATTTTTGAATTTTTTTACGCTGTTGATTTCGCGGTTGTGTGTTTCCGTTGTTTGATTTCGTCTGGGTTGATTATCTGATAGAATTAATGAATTTGCTTAATTGAAGTCCAGAAGAATGAATAATTGAAGTGAATCTGGCGAAATTAGTCGCGGATTATTACATAGTTTGATGAATTTCAAACGAATTCCTTTGAGATTGTGTGTGTGTGTGTGTGTGTGTGTGTTTTGGGGATTATACGTTTGAAAGCTGCATATTGACATTTGGGCTAAATACTGTCTTGACAGTAATGCACTTATGGAAGTCGAATTTATTTTCTTCCAGTTCATAGTTGTTATTCAAGTAAATATATGGAAGCATGTTTAGTTATCAACTGTTATAAAATCATTGTTCTTCATTCAGTATCTATAATGATTCTATTATTCAGCTGAGTTAGGTTGGTTTGTTCCTTCTCATATCATAGATTATTTAAGCTTTGAGGGCAATATACCTTATTCGTTTGTCCATTTTTATAAATGCATCTTTTTATGCTTCTGATATTACTAACTGCACTTCATCCGACGAGTTAGTGAAAGCCTAAAAGAGTTTCGAACTAAACTACTATTTGCGAAGAACAAAATTAACTAGAACTTCTACAAATATTTCTTGAAAACTCAAGATTTCGTCATTTCGAGAATACCATTTGGCTGCGATATTTGTCATTGATTTTCAATGTTTAGAATTTCACGCGAAATCAGCAAATAGTAGATTATAGTTAAAGTTGAAGTTGTTATCGAACCTCACCACTCTCTAAAGCTTTTCATATGACGAGTACATGCCATTGCTTGAGTCAAAAGATGAATTTTTTATTGGTTGAATTTCATTTATTCCGACACATAACCCATTGCTGTGACAAAACCCAAGTTCTTGATTCTGGTGATTATTTCTAGTTACTTTGATTGTCTAATTTAAAATGCTATTAGGTACTATTCGATGTACGGACATGTTGAGAAACTAGCTGAAGAGATAAAGAAGGGAGCTGCATCTGTTGAAGGAGTTGAGGCCAAATTATGGCAGGTAGGAACTATCTTCATTTCACATATTTGATGCATATTCTGCAAAATGATTATAGTAGCTAAGAGAAGTGTGTTTCGCTGTTAGCATGTTAAAAGATGGTCGAATTAAGCTACGCGTTTTAAGATAACATGTACTTAATTAGAATATCTATTGAATTAACAATTTTGATGTGCCTTTACCTCTGCTTTTCAACACGCATTGTGGGATAAAAATGCAGGATGAGTAACAGGTTAGTACTTAGATTCAGCATAAGTTCAGAAAATAAGAAGATTATAGAAGTATTCATAGATAGAGCTTAGTAGCTACTTTTAGAAAACAGGAAAAAAAAAAAAAAAAGGGGGGGGGGGGGGGGGGGGGGAATTTTGCTTCCACCCCCAACCCCGAAAAATACCAAATTTGGTTTCCAAAAAAAATTGGGTTGGCCGAAAATTTTTTTACCCCCTTCTTTTGGGAAAAGAAAAAAACCCGAAAAAAAAAAACCGCCCCCCCCCCAGAAGGTTTCTTTCCCCCAAAAAAATTATAAAAAAACCTGAATTTTTTTAAAAAACTTCCCCCCTTTTTTCCTTCCCCAGGTTTCGGGTTTTTTTTCAAGCTTAAACCCCCTTTTTGAGGGTTCCCGCCTTAAAAAAACCCCTTCCATCCGTAAAACAGGGGATCTCCTTAAAATCCCATTTTAAAAAAAAAGGGACGGTGGGGGGGGGGGGGGACTTGGGCTTCGACTCGTAACCATGAATAGTACGAAATTGAGTTCTAGAATAAACTTGGCTTGACTGAAAATTGCTTAACCACATACTATTGGAAAAGTAAACAAACCGAGAAATACAAAACTGCCTCCCCTCATGAGGTTTTCTTTCATCTAATAATATTATATATAAGCTTGAATTTTTTGAAACATCTTCACCACTTTATCCTTCACCAGGTTATCGGCTTTTTTGTCATGCTTAACCACCTTTCTTGAGGTTCTCTGCATTAGAAAATCACTATCAATCTGTAAAGCAGTGATTCTCTTTAAATTCCTATTTTAAAAAGACAGGAAATTTACAGTTGCTTACATAAGTTGTTCTATATATGATAGGTACCCGAGACACTACAAGAGGATGTTCTGACAAAAATGAGCGCACCACCAAAAAGTGAAGTACCCATAATCACACCTAGTGAACTCGCAGAAGGTGACGGCTTCATATTTGGGTTTCCCACAAGATTTGGAATGATGGCTGCCCAGTTCAAAGCATTCTTCGATGCTACCGGAGGCCTATGGAGGGCACAACAACTCGCTGGAAAACCCGCCGGAATATTCTACAGCACCGGCTCTCAAGGTGGTGGACAGGAAACTACCGCGTAAGTAGTCCCTAATATTTGCCGAGACTGTAAATAACTCATCACCTAGTTTGAACAAACACAAGTGTCTGATAACTGTCTTGCCTGTGATTTTATTTTGATTTTCAGATTGACTGCTATAACTCAGCTAGTACACCATGGAATGATATTTGTACCGATCGGGTACACGTTCGGAGCGGGCATGTTTGAAATGGAGAAGGTGAAAGGTGGAAGCCCTTATGGTGCAGGTACTTTTGCTGGTGACGGTTTAAGACAGCCGTCGGATCTTGAATTGGAGCAGGCTTTCCATCAAGGCAAGTACATTGCCACCATTACCAAGAAACTCAAGGGATCTGCTTAATACAATTCATCTCTTCTTTCCAGATACTACTGCTATTCTTCTGTTGCTATAATTCTTGTGATTTGTTTTTTTTTTTTTTTTTTTTGGTTTCTCTATTCAAATACTCAAAAGACATATATATATTCGATAAGATTGAAAAAAATGTAATTCTTGGCTGGTTATGCCAATGTCCAAACTTTGTCCGTAATATCTTACAATTTCTAAACCCTTGTGTTTTTTCAGTAATTGTGAAGCTTGTTTACATTTTTTGGTTTTTTTCCGTGAATTACGGTTGCCTCCTTGAGGTAAGGTCAAATTACAAAAAAATCCCTCATGTTTGGGTAATTACAACCACCTCTCAACTATGAATCTATTTACACGTTCATCCTTGCATTGCCAAATTTAGGAGAATCTTTTAAATTATGCGGAATATTCTACAATTTGTACCTGTTTACCCCATTCAAGCTCCACCTTTGAAAGAAGATGAACATAAGATGTGTCTCTCGGCTTGTAAATATCAGTTCGTTGTGCATTAGAAACTGCATTTTTGGACAGAAGGAGTACAAACTAGAGAACATTCCAGGTAATCTAGAAAATTATAATGAATTTGACAATATAAAGGTGGACTTGTAAGAAGATTCATAGTTAATGGGTAATTGTAACTACCCAAATATGAGGGCGTTTTTTCGTAATTTGACCTTACCTCGTGGAGTGGCAATAATTTAAACTTAAAAAAAAAAATATATTAGTCTTACAACAAAGAATGCACTTATGGGCTTTGTTCTTGTTGGGCCTATGAGGTAACGTCATTGATTTATATGTGACGTGTATCAAATAAAATAAAATAAAATAAAATAATGGGTGCGAAATTAAATAATTAAATATAATTGAATATCTCACTCACCTAAAGTCCAACAATTAACATGTTGCGGATTCTCTATATTTATTTATATGACAACACAAGACGAACAAGAATCGATGCTAAATAATAATAAATATACTATTGCAGATGAAATAATAATATATTTTCAAATTCAGAAGAAAAAAAAAATTGAAAAAGGGAAAATGAGTAGAGCATCTCCAGGCCAAACGAAGATAGTTAAAAGTAACAGCTTTTAAAAGTGGTGCCAGCTTTCGAATATTTAACAATTAGACAGCCAAAACTTTATACGTACAAGTTATAATTAGAAGAAATATCTGGATTTGTCATATATATAATTCATCCCAAATGATGCTGTTTAATTCAAGGGCTAATCATGATTAGTTTGTAGTGATCATGCTTTCTTTTTGGGTTTATTTTATGCTTCTAAGTAAAGCTAATTATTATATATATTATTCCGTAGTAGTAGTAGTTGATGGCTATATATATATATATGTTGTAGGTGTGCCTATATCAAATGATAAGCTATATATATATCGTTCCTAGGAAACAACGTTTAAATGTACTTTAGGTTTGAAGGATTTACTGCATGTCCTTTTTTCTTTTATAATTTATTTACTAGATTTTCTGTCAGAGTGAAAGTACATTTAAATCTGAATTTACGCATTTTGATTGATTATACATGAATTTACTATAAGTGCAAATTATGAAGTTAACAAATAATTTAAAATAAAATATTTTTATCCGAAGCAACAAATAATATTAATATTGATTATCATATGCTGCCAATGATTATACAGAAAAATTCTTACCTTTCAGTTGCGAATTCGATGCCCAAAGCGATTTACCATAGTTGTTTCACATGAGGTTAGGGGTGGTACATGAGTCGAGTCGGCTCGTGAGCCTGATGATCCAAGTCGATTAACGAACTCGAATTTGTTTTGAGCTGTTCATAAGCTCACAAGTTCGGTCGCAGATTTTGTTTTTACTTTTTTTTAGTTATAAATATAAATACATTTAATAATAACTGCATATAAAATTAAAAGAAAATTTATTTATTTTTCATTATAATAACAAAAAAATATTAATGTAAAAAATAATTGAAAAATGTGAGTTGAGCTCTCTAGATTGATCGAGATTAGGCAACAAAAGCTCGTCAAATTCGTCTCGAACTCCAGTTCTAGTTCGAAAAGTACTAATCTACCAAACTTGGCCCCAGCTCGATTCGTTAACACCTCTAATCAGAGGCTGCTTGATTTTATTAAGCTACTCAAGGAAGAGATAAGTTTTTTTTTGGGGAAATTGGCTTTAATTAGCTTCCAATGAAAGGAGGTGAATGTAACAATTGGATGATAATATATATATAAAATAAAAAGGCATAACTGATAGCTCCACCATCCTCAATTGTCTATATCTTTTTCCCTATCTTCTTCAACAAAGAATATATATATTAAATAAGTGAAAACCCTAAAAAGTTGAGGGGCCAATGGGACTCCTTCTGACTTCCACTCATATATATATATATATATATATATATATATATATATATATATATATATATATATATATATATATATAAACAATTCTAAAGTTAAGATTTTTATTTTTTTACAATCAGATCATCTCCCCACACACTTGCTCATCACTCTTGTTCTAGATACAAATATTCCTTCCATTTATTTAATTATTATTATTATGTAGGGAAATTATTAAACTAAAATACTAAAGTTGTGTGTGTGTGTGTGTATATATATATATATATATATATATATATATATATATATATATATATATATATATATATATATATATATATATGCCAGCAGATGTATGCAAAATAATATACATACACCAAAACCTAGCTACTTTCTATTCTATTTCATTGTGATAAACATCATGAGCTACAAACAAGAACAAAATTGATCTCTAAACTAATAAATAATATGTATTTAATTCCTAACCAACCCTTTAATCATAATTCTTCAATTATTTGATAACTAATATTTGCATACAATAATACTATATTGGTCCCTAGCTAACAATAATATTCTTGGCCAGGGGCTGCATCTTTTTGCCTGTTAATACCATGGCCCAAAAGTTTTAAATTTCCTGTCTTTTTATCCTTTTCATCATTTTCACCCCCATCTCTTTCAGCATTTATCTCTTTTTCTTGTTACCTTCATCAGCCTCAAAATCATTATTATTAATAATATTAATAATTAAAAAAAGAAAAAAAAAAAGATTCTCATCTGAAGCTTCCTCCAAATGTAGGTGTCCAAAAATCAACCGTTGTCTCGTGAGCCACCGGAAAAGTGCTCGATACCGGTACTAAACATAGCCCTCGATTTCTCAGATCTTGACGTGGCCCTTCTTGATCCTTTGATTTTTCAGATTTCTGTAAGAACATAAAATTAATTAAATGAAAGTGGCCTAGCTAATTAATTACATACAAAGATTAATTATATTAGCTAAATCAAATATTTTTTTTTTCAATGTGTATATATGTACCTGGTGGTGATGTGTGGATGCTGGATTTTTCATGTAAGGATCGCTTAACGCCTGATAATTTAACATAAACATATAGATAGTTAATTATTGAAACGAATATATACATAAAAACATGAAACAAATATTAATTTGATAGTACTAAATTATAAGATGCTTACGCTGATTTGTTCGTGGAGAAATTTGATGTATTCGATAGCATCGGAAAGCACAGAAGCCGTATCAGTCTGCGAAAAATAGTCGAAGAATTCAATCGTATATCAGATGATCATCAAAATATGTTGCTAATTAATTAATAATTAGCATATATATCGAAGAATTTAATCATATATCATATATGTATATATTAATCCGGCCACTTGCTGAATTGAATAAAATTAGAATTATACCTTTCCAAAAGGTGAGACTAATTGTTGAAGTGCAGTTATTCTGTCTCCCATCTTCTCTTTCCTCACCTAATAATAATCAAGAACAACAAACCCGATCGACATGCTCGTATTATCATCATCATCATCGTGTATCACACGAATAAAGTAAATTAAATTAAAGTTGATGAAGCTTCTCTTACAAGCTTCTTCATAGATGATCAATACCTTAAAAGCTGGTAATGGATTTGGGGTTTCGTTTCTCGGTCTTTTATTTGATGTTTCTGTGTTGTTTTTCTTCGTCGTCGTACTTGATTCCCGCGCTTCTGACGTCTTCATTTTTTGACAAAACCAACATAAGTTTTTTCTTAATTAATTTTCATGCACATATATATTATATCTACAGATATATATATGTGTGTGTGTGAAAACTAGAAAAAATATATAATGAAACCCTGGACTCGTAAATTTATCATGCAGCGGTGGAATTAATTAATGATATTTTTTTTTTTTGAGTTTTTAATTACTACCTTTGGTTTTTCATCGAAAGATGGAGGAATCTGAGTTTGTAAGGCCGCCGGAAAAAAGCTCGAGCGAGCCGCCTCGGACATGGCGGAAGCCGGTGAAGATGCATTCCAGAAAGGTGCGTTGTTAGTGAAATGCAAATGGCTGCCGGACGACGCCGGCGGCGGCGGCTGTTGTTTGGGCGGCGGCGATTGTCTCAAGAACTGAGGGAATTTATTCCAGGACGGAATTATATCAGACGCGCCGCCGCCGTAGCCGCCAGACGGGTACTGATAGTTCATGGGCTGGTTTTCCGACAGCAACAAGCCGTACGCGGCGGCGGAATCCACCGGAAAAGTACTACCGGAGTTGTTTAAATTATGTGATGTCGTTATTGTGCTGTCGTTCGAACTTGCCTGGTGGCTGAACTGCAGCTGCTGGTGGTGGTGGTGGTGTTGATGGACGTCCAACGAGAAACCCCGATGAATATTAATTTGCTTGTAATCATTCAGAGATGACTCCTCCTCCGCCGCCGCCGGAGAACCATCGGAATATACTTTCTGCGATCTCCACTGTTCTTGAGTAGTTGCTCCTGACTGCTCAAAACCGCCAGCTGTATTCGAACTCATATCTTCTTCAAGCATTGATCGGAAACTGCTCTCCGCCTTTTCACCTCTACTGCGTTAATTAATTCATCACCAAATCTAAATTAAAATCAAACAAAAATACATATATTATATGTATATATATATATATATATATATATATATATATATATATAGATTCTTACAATAAAGTTTGGTTCCAATCGATGCCTTGATGAGAAGACAGTCCCAACCCCATCATCTGCAAGTTAGGGTTTGCTAAACCGCCGCCGCAGGCGGCGGCGGCGGCGGAAGATTGATCATGGGCGCCACCTTGCAACAACTGGGATCCACCGCTGGGCTTCATCTCCACCATTTCTGTCGGCCAACCGAAACTTGCGATGGAGTTTAACGTTGTAGAAATCGAAACCGGTGGCGTTGCGCCGCCGTCAAATCTGTTTCTTGATGTATTATTACTATCCCACCAGTTTCCACTTCCCAGATGAAATTCATCCGCCATAGCCGCTCACCTCTGATTTTTCAGTTATTTCTCTCTCTCTCTTGATGTTTATTTATTATATATAAAAATGAAATGAATCCGATTAGCTGCATTTCAGTATATATATATATTATATATATATATATATATACGAAATAAAATTACCAGAATTTGTGGTTGACTTTTGTACAAAGTGATTTGACAAAAGTAAAGGAGAGGTCATCTTGAAAGCAAATTCCCCTGCTTAGCTAATTAATTAAATAAAATAAAAATATATTATTTTTATTTTTCTTTTTATTTTGTCTTTTATCGATACCCAATAGTGCTTCTATTAATAATATTGTATTGTTTTACTTTTATTTCACAAATTTTATAATTGTATCAGTTGTTTTGGACATTGTCGAGTCAAAATACCACTGGTGTTACAAGACAAAAAGTTACACGTCATTATATATATATATATATATATGTATATATATATATGTATAAGAACAAAAAATAATGCATTGCTTAAGGAATTTCCCTTGTATAATTAATCAACTTTTAAGTAGGTTTAATTTACATAGAATTGATGAACTGCTTTATAAAGTTCGTAATCTATCTGTACGTTTTAGCATTAAGTATACACTTACCTAATTAAGATTTTTTCATAATTATATTAATTACACTTTGTGAATTAATTACTTACAAATCTAACAATTTGTTATAGGGTAGGCTCAAATTTTTGGAGTCGGGGGAAGAAGTTTTTTTTTTCATTTTTAGGACTTGTTTGGCACTAAATTTGAGTTTTTGGTGTGCTAAATAATAAAATTTGGGGGATTAAATTGAGGGTGGGCTCGACTACACCCTTGCCAAAGTGTAGACTCGCCCTTGATCCTGGGGTTGATATGCGATTTTGGTGGAAGTTACATCAATTTTTGACGGATTCGAAAGTGTGGAAATCAGACAGTTCGGATCATAATTAAAACATTTGATTTTTTTTTTAATCTATTTTTAAGTAAACAAAACTAGTTCAAAAAATGGAGTATTGTTATATTATATGATCAATATAACTACTATATATATAGTCTAGTTGAATACAAGTTTGAGTTTCTGGAGTATTTCTCAAAATACACTATGTTTGTAAAAGAATTTCAAAAATATAATAATAATAATAATAATAATAATAATAATAATAATAATAATAATAATAATAATAATAATAATAATAATAATAATAATAATAATTAACATTATTATTATTATTATTATTATTATTATTATTATTATTATTATTATTATTATTATTATTATTATTTAGAAGACTTCAAACATAATTTGACTACTAAAAAGTATTTTCACTAAAACACCTAACTAAAATTACTTTATTTTTCAAAATTTTCTTTTAAATTATAATTTTCTAACATACGATTTACATTGATGTTCAAACTATTTGAAACTATCAATCATGGGGGAGTCAGCTGAAAGACCTAAATAATTTTCTTTTTTTCAAAAAGGAGTCAATTCATTTTCCACCAACAACGAAATATTATAATTTAATAAAATTAGCTAATAATATAAGCAAGAGGCAAAAATTAGTGGGTGGAGGTGGCGTTCGCCGTGACGGTAACGTGCCACCGAAACGGTGCCGTCTTAACCATTTTCTAATTTTATTTTTATTTTAATTTTAATTTCCGGGAGTAAAGTCAACCGGAGTAAAGCTGCGCGTGCGGGTGGGTGGGTCCCAGCAAGAAGACCTAATAGTCAGAGCCTGAAAGTGACCGTCTACACAAAAACATTCCCTATGCTAATCATTTCCAACCCTTTAATTTTGTTTCTCTTAATTACTCATTAGTCCACCCACTCGCGTTCACACCTACAACCATCTTTGGCTAATTAATTACTACTACTATTTACTTGCAAATTTCATCTTATCCATTTCAAAACGAATCTAATAGTATCCTAAATTACAAATTAATGTTTGACAGTTTATAGTTCTGCAGCATTATCATTTGGTGGAAATCGATTTAATCCTCACTAAAATTGGTTGTTCTAGAACACTTTCTCTGATTCTTGATCGTTAAAAAATTGCTCTGTCCACCCGAAATTCTGGAACTTGAGCGCCTATGCACATTCCGACGCTAAAGTTAATTTTGAGAAAAATAGTTCAAGATCAGAGAGTAAACTTAAAAGGTTAACTCGGGAAGATAATAAAAAATTGACACGAATATAGGATGAATTTCATAACGTTTAATAAAATTTCAACTCAAATAATTATGTATTGCACAATAGTAATACTAGAAGAATTTCATAACATGTAGACATAATTACTTTACTTACATAATTGTTCAGTAATTTGTATGTTGAGTTTGTCACACATATATGTATATACACTAGTGTGGTATATATGTCGTGTAGTTTGCAAAAATGAAGAATCTATTAATTATGAGTGAAGATTTAGCTATCTATATATATATATATATATATATATATATATATATATATATATATATATATATATATATATATAATTGGTAGATGATTCATTCATTATTAGGAGAAAGAAGAAAGAAAGAGTTAATGAATATTTGCACTCGTGTTTTATTCATATGGTTGTTCATGTATAAGATCATTGTATTGATTTAAAAATATAATAAAATATTAGACTATGACATATACATGTATTGTGCAATAGTACATTTGGATATGTCATAATGAGTGGCAACTTGTAATTAAGTAGTAATTAATTAATAATTTCCAGCATACTAGGTTTCCTCCCAACGCCCAACCATTCCCATCTTAACCTCTTTGATTAATTCTTAATTAAAATCACAGATATGCTAAGGTTTCCTCCTGCAAGCATTCACACTTGATTGATAGTAAACCTCAATTATATTTTTCTTTGTCTTGATTCTATTACTAGGTTCTTAAAGAACCTAACTTTACTAGCATAGCCAGTGATTATTTTTTTTAATATTAAATTATATTACAAATATCTAACTCTTAATTTCAGGTTACGTTAGTTTTCACTTATACGTTTAAGTTCTCTTGAAATATTCTTGTTCGAACAACTTTTAACTTAGTTCATTTATATTCATATCGCATGCAAATGACTGCTCTTCATGTGGCAACAAATCTCTCGTCAATCACCAGCTTGTGTGCAGTAACCAACGCCTTGCATCCTACACTAATTACTCAAATTATAAATGATACAACATCGAGTATATCGATCTTATTTTTTCTAAAATATATAAGTGATGTAAATTTATATTTTTCTTACAACAATAATCATATTAGGCTTTCCAATGATAATCATTCCCCACTAACTAATCCTACTTCAAATGATATATTAAAATTTGATTGAGTTTATGTATATCTGACGTAATGGTGACATAAGATTGAGGTTCAGAAGGTGACAAAGAGGAGACAAGGGTTCGAAATCTTTCAACAACAAGTGATGACCACACCTCCAGATATTTTTTTTCCATCACATGTCACACACGTGAGTTAATCAACAGCCAGGAGAAAAAAAAACCGAGTGAAGACTTTTTTTATTTTTCTTCACATGTCCACTAATTGTTGAATTTGGAATGCTGTACAAATTCCATTGCAATTTGCAATCACCCATTTTTTAAAATTCAGGGTCAACTCAAAAGTCGAGAGGAAAATTGTAAAAAGAGTACCGCACCCCGCGTACATTTCGGCTGTCTCTGCAATCATTGCCAATGTGTTTTTCATTAGAAAAAAGAAATTTTAATTAAATTATTTCTCCAATAAATGAAAAATGAGAGAGAGACTTTATTGTTGAATTTCTACGAAATTCAAGAAGATGCTAAGGAGGGAGGGTCAACCAAACATGTGGTTGACTTTTGTTTGTAAGAACTTACTTAAAAGTAGAAGATAATAATTGTGATTACGTTGTATTAAGTGTTTATTTTTAAAAGTTAAGGCGTTTGCAATTATACTGGAAGATCAACTAAAAAAAAAAAAGTTTCAAAGATGCTTTTCAAATTATAACTTAAACAACCTATTTTTAGAGAAGTAGAAGCAAATGTTAGTATTGCAGCACTTCAAAAGTGATTTTGAGCCCAGAAAAGTCTAGAATCACTTTTCAAAAACTTTTGCAAACACCACCTTAATTGCAGTCATTGATCACATTAATCACCATTAGCCATCGCAAAATGCGCTTTCGCAAATTAAAATTTAGGAGCGTAATCTAGTTAACAAACAAGGGAGCTTTTGCTCATTTAGATATCTAGACTAGATAGGCCTAATATTATTAGGTTCTTATATTCTATATCTAGATAGACCTAATATTATTAGGTTCTAATATTTATATGCGCCATATCACTAATCATACTATAGTAAAATATTATCATTAAATTTGTATCATTCTTATAAAAAAATTCATAAACATTTTCTCAGTAACTTTTTTAAAGACGCTTAACAAAAAAATTCAAACTCAAATTCTTAACTTTTCCATCACTAAACTGTATTCAGAAACATCGTTCCCAAACAAAGTATCATGAGTCCGCCCCTAGATAACTTACCTAGAATAGCACCAAACTTTAAACCTTTAACTAAATATTCTTATAATATGATCATGTCACACATAACTAATTCATCATAGTTAAAATTATTATTAAACAAATGTAATAAGAGATCAATTAATATCTGAGAATTAATCATATTTAATTGAAAGGTCAAATACACAAATTCCTTTGTCTATTATTCTTAATTTAGGGTTTAAGTAAAATAGTTACTCACCAAAAATATTGGTGATGAAAAAATTTGTTGTACGGAAGAAGATATTTATTATTTATGCAAATTAAAAGGAGGAATGTGGTTCCACTTTAATTTCATGTGATGTATATATATATCACATAAAATAATTTATTAAGTGAGTGTTGATATATATTTGATGCCATTGAATTTGACTTTTGAGAAATATCAACGTCCAGATGCCAACATCTCGTCTTGTTCAGTCAGATCCATTCAGGAGCGTTGTCGGGATGGAATAATCTTGGGATTTGACTTCTAATAAGTTTTCTTAGTTCAACTATTACTAATTAATTTTATTACTAATTATCATTAGTAAAAAAATAAACTTCTGTACGTACGTAATTAAATTATCTTTTTCATGGTTTTAAGATGGACACGGCAGCATGACATCATTTCTCGGTCATTGAAAAATATATCTATTTATGGCAGTCGGGCCGGGCCTAGACAGATTATCTTTCTGCGGCTGTCATCATTAATTGTATATCAACGGTTCTTATTGATTCCTTTTATAATTCATTAAATCTTCTGATTTTGGACTGATTGGGCTTGCTCCATTCTAGCGTTTGGATTGTTTGGGCTATTTGGTTTGATGGTTTTAATCTGTTGAATTCAAATTTGGAATTGATTTTAGCCCATAATTTAAGCTCAAGTTCTAGCAGTTGGAGTCCAAGAAACTTAGGCCTTGTTTGGGAATATTTCACAAGATTGATTGAATAGGAAATAATTATATTTTCTATGATCATGTAATACGAGACTATCCCATATTTAGGATTTATGGTTTTACTATTTGAGACCGACGGGTACGATTGTCCAAAGACCAATATTGAATGAAAAGTTTTACATAAAATTTAAGGGTCCCATATTGAATGAAAAATCTTACATAAAATTTAAGGGCGATTCAAGCCTAAGGTCGTCTCATCCACTACAATTGTCAGTTGCTAACTAAGTATCCTCACATAGGGCATATGTAAACAGCAGACGCTGCTACATTTGGCCCAATGTCAGAAATAGGGGTGTAAAGTCTGCACCGTGACGTGACTAAAAAAAGGCCCATCAAATAACAACAAATTCGCTTAGAGTAGTTAAGAGCAACCACAAAACGACCCAAGTCATAATAAGAGGAAGCTAGATCGTCTTCAGTAGGTAAAACGAGCTTGCAGCAAGTCATGTCACTCCGTATATGCATCGTGATTAGATAAGACATAGGTCCCACTAGACTCATCTCCATGATACGTATAAATACAAACCGTGGAACACAAGGAAAAACATGTTCATTTTCTCCATATATTACATTTAGTACACCACTATTTACCTCTGTGAGAGATGCATCGTTTTCCACTATACCCGACTCACTAGACCGCCGAAGTGCTAACGTCGAGAAAAATTTCTCCGGCACTTCTTTTTGCAGGTCTCCTAGAGCAGTTGGGCTCTCTCTCGATCGGAATTTCCTTCGTCTTGGTCTTAGTTGATAGAACTTGATTATATTGTATATCAAGCCCAATCCTTATGTAAGACCATTGAATCATTATGATAATTCTTATAATTATTTTACCAACTATGTTTAGGCTCAACATGTAGTTTGAAAATTAGTATATGGGAATTTGAACGATGAAATTTATATATCAAATTGGCAAAAAAATCTACAACATTTTATTTGATCCAAACATTTGGGCCGAAAATAAATGGGCCGATAGATGCAGGACCAGTTATGCAAAACCTCAAATGTCAAATCTCACGGTCGCTGAAAACCGGAGCCCCGTTCCTATATGGATCTTCTGTCAAAAGCGTACGCATCTGCTTCCGACGATGATGACGACGGCGCTAGAGTTGCCGTTGCCGGAGGGCGGTCCGAACACTCGAATCCGTTTCCGCCTCCTACGAAACGTTCCAGACGGGAAACATATTCGGCAAATCCGATCCAGATGCCCGTTTTTCGCCGCCCGAGTTTCCCCGCGGAAGCTTCGATACCTGGAAGTTACATATCTAAGCGACAAAGAGCAGCCATTGCTGCGGATGCGAAACCGACTGAACCGAACCCTAATTGCGTCCACACCTCACAAGGTTCGCTCCTTTTTTACTCTAATTCCCACTGTCGTGTTAGTTTGATCAAACTCTGATACGATTAATTTGAATTCTCACATTTTTTGTTAAAATTGATTTCGACATAATTTGATTGAAAATCGGCAAACACCTACATACGTTGAAAGAGTTTCTGTAAGATTTCATGACTAATTTCATGTCAATTTTAATTTATTTATTGTTGTTTTCTCACAGTTTTGGGAAGCCTTTCAGATTCAGATGTACCGCATAGTATTTCGACAAAGCTGAGGTATCGGAAGAAGCAAAACGGTGTGGCCTCCTACCAAAAACCTCCGTCGCTTTCTGCAGCTCTCGATGGCCACGTTAAATCTGTGAATGCTATGCAATGGTCTGTAACTCATGGTAAGTGCTTAAAAATGCCGATATATATTGTTCTACCCCCAACTGGCCCCCTCTGCCAGTATTTGTTTTGAGAAGTCATATTTCTTGTAAGCGAAACATGATTTAATTATATTCGATACGAATCAAATTTTAGTTGCATTTCTTGGATTTAATTGTTATATTGTTCAGGGAATTCCTTATTTGCATTTGCTTTATGGAGAATGTATTTGTTGGTACATTTGCCCCTCTCTACGATTGGAAGTTGATCTTTCCTTTAATTAGAAAGTTCGAAAATAAAGAAAAAGATTTTAGGATGTAGTGGCCAACTGGAGACGCACATTTGATCGTAGAACAGTGGTGTGCAAATGTAGTGACTTATGATTGTTCATCTTAAGTCGGACTTATAGATTAAAACGTAATTTCGTTAATGTATCGCGCCAATATATAATTTATGGTGGACATTGGTTCTTTTTCTTTCTTGAATTGATAACTATCCTAGTATTGGAGACTCTCTGACACATCAATCTGATTGACTGCTGCGCGTTTCTGATCTGTTCTAAAAACTTAGTCTCCAGGTCATCTTCTTGCATCTGCGGGAATGGATAATACTGTATCCATATGGAATGTATGGAGCAACGTCCAAAAACGAGCACGTATATTCAATTTTCACCGTGCAGCAGTGAAAGATGTGAAATGGTCACAGCAGGGATTGTCCGTGCTCTCTTGTGGCTATGATTGCACGTCAAGATTGGTTGACGTTGAAAAGGGAATGGAGGTTCGGGTTTTCAAGGAGGATCAAATTGTACAAGTCGTCAAATTTTCTCCAGACAACCACAACCTTTTTCTCTCCGGTGGATCGAAAGGCCTCCTTAAACTGTGGGATACTAGAGCTGGCACAGTGGTCCATGAATTTGTACGAAATCTTGGGCCAATCCTTGATGTAGAATTCACACTTGATGGCAAGAATTTAATCACCTCGAGCGATGTGTCCAGAACTAATCTCAGTGAAAATTCGATTATTGTCTGGGATGTTTCACGGCAGGTTCCATTATCCAATCAGGTAAAAAACAGTGGTGTATCTTACTCAGTGATCGTTTAGCTAATTAGCATACTTTGTTGCATATTAAATTAACAATTAAAATTCATAAAACTCTTGGTTAATTTCTGAAGTTTCAAATGGTGTAACATTTCGGCTTTGTTTTGAAATGAGGAAAATAAAAATGCAAAGGCAAATGGGCACAAAGAATTTTAAAATAGCTAGTATGTTTGGTTTGGTTCCTAAAGGAAAATGATGAAGAAGATGATTTTGTTGAAAATCATGTTCTTTACCCAAGCAGACGTGTTTGTTGAGGTTCTGCCATGGAGGTGAACTAATCCCATAATTGGGTGTTTTTTTAAGACAGAGGAATTATAATTAAAGGCTTTTACATGTAGTTTTCCTCGCTTTTTTTTTTCTTCTTTTTTTTTCTTTCTAGGAAAGTGTATTTTCGTTATTTCAGTCACAATGTGTTTTCGCCCTTTTCCCTAAATCATTTTACCTCATAATCAAATAGAAAATCTATTTTACCTAGTTCTTTTATCTTTTCACTTAGCATTTTTACTTGGCATTCTGTGTGATACAAACAGAGCCTTCATATTTCATACTCTACCATGGTCTGAATTCTAGTTCTAACAGAACTCTATTTGTACAATAACCTCAACACTGGTGTTTTCCAGGTATATGCCGAAGCATACACATGCCCGTGCATCAGACGCCACCCATTCGAGCCCTACTTTATTGCCCAATCCAACGGAAACTACATTGCTATTTTCTCCACAAAACCCCCGTTCAGACTAGAAAAGTACAAGAGATACGAAAGTCACGGTGTTTCTGGTTTCCCTATAAAATGCAATTTCAGTCTTGACGGAAATACGGTAGCCACAGGATCGTCCGATGGATGTATCTACTTGTACAACTCCAAAACGTGCAAGCTCCTCAAAAAGGTTAAGGCATACGAGCAAGCATGCGTAGATGTTGTATTCCATCCTACCCTGCCAGATGTCGTTGCTAGTTGTAGCTGGAACGGCGAAATCTCGGTTCTCGAACGAGACAGCTGTCACAATTGGAAGGGGCCCACAGTGAACTGATTTTCCAGGCTAATTTTGGAGTGGGCTTCGTTTGTGGTATGAATTTCTGTGAAATAATTTTAGTGTTTTCTTGGTGAATTTCTCGTTGATTTTTTTTTTAGCAATGTATGTTTATGGTACTTGAATTGTTGTTTGCCAAAACTGTTTACGGACTACGGTACTTGAGTTGTAGCAATCAAATCAGGAGTGAGTGATTCTAGGTGTGTGAAGTGCGACAGAATATCAAATCGACATTTTTTACGGAGAAATTTGTCGGATGTGCAATGGCACAGTGTAGTGACCCCATCTCCAGGAAGATGATTAGATGGAGCATTGACTCTTGTGCATAAATAAAATGTTCTCGAGTTTGAGGTCCGTTTTGTTTTGGTGCCCATTTTTATTAAATTCGGAACAGGCAACATCAACCCTAACCCCAGGTATGTGTTGTAGTGCTCGTGGGGCATAGAACAATAGTAAAGGACGTAAATGATATGAAGTGATGGTTTGTTGCTCGTGTTGGCGAAATGCAGAGTGAGGGTTCGATTCCTATTTCTCACAAAATATTTGAAATTCAATCATTTTCAACTTTTCATATTTGAAAATCTTACTTCTCTCAAACTCTTTCAACCCAAAAAATCTCAAGTGTACTATTTTTTTTCCCTTTCCTTTTTGTGTTATTCAACATGGAATCTGAGACACAGGAATATGTGTTGACCAACATGGAATAATCATTTTTTTAAATGAAAAATCTCCGTGATAATCGGGATAATCATTGTTCATTTGGTTTACAATCGCTTGCTAGTTGATAAAATTAAAAAAGACGTAGCAATCTAAGAGATTGAAAGATTGAAAATGAGAAAATTTGTTAAATTTTATGAGTTTTTCGAAATCTTGTTTGAAATTACTCTGCAACGTATAAAAGTCCTTCCGCTTCTATCAAGCCCCTTTATATCTTCCCCATTGATGTACTCCAAAGGTGGGACCCATGCTTTTTGTGTGGTGGTGGTGGGTGGGGGGTGGAGTTGGAGTTCGGGGGTGGGGGAGCAAAACACATAGGAACATGTGCTCGGGGAAAAAAAAAAGGGAGGAGGAGAAAAGTAGGGAAGAAATAAATATGATGGGGGAAGATTGGAGATAATATTGGGCCAGAAATGAATACAGCTGTTCCTTTACTTAAATGGGCCCGGATCCACTGGCCCATATTTTATGAACTAAAATGGATTCGGGGTAATATTCTACTAGTTTTCAAAGTGACACATTTAAATCAGAATCAGCTACTGTTCAATGATGAGACACTGTGGATAGTATCTGAAACAATGAGTTAACAAAAACAGTGGAATTTTCTAATTAATGACACATTATTTTTTTATACATATGGCAATGGTTTACAGCCAGGCCTGTGTCTAGATACTCGCAACCTATTCAATAAATATATATATATATATATATATATATATATATATATATATATATATATATATATATATATATATATGGAGAGAGAGAGAGAGAGTATTTAACTATTTATAAAAAAGGATTTATGTTGTGGGGGCAGAGGGGTGATCTTGATCCAAGTGTGTTTCTCTCTCTAGAAGAGGGAAGAAAGGGAAGAGAGAGAGAGGGGGATGCAAAAGGATAATAGGTGAAAGAAACACAATAATGCAAATTCATTGTTTGATGGATTGGAGGAGTGATTCGAAGGGAGACATGACACACTACCTTCCTTTTGTAGCTGCTCAGCCACTTATACGTAGGGACCATTACTCTATTTTATTTTATTTTTTATTTTTAAAAAAAATTGCAACTTCAAATCAAATAATGCATCACTAAATGTGTCACACCTTGACTTTTGTTGCATGTATGTATGTCTTTGTTTGTTTATGTGTTTTCCATGAATTGATTCTGAAATTCAATGAAATTTGTGAATACGCTTTGTGCACTGAAACACACTAACAAAATTACGCATAAATATATTCGCGCAAAAGTGCACGTACGTATATGCTCATGAAAGTACACATTACAATATTAGCACATTAGAATGTATCAAAAACACGCAGTACTTACTAAAAAACACATAAATACACTAACAAAACCATGAACACAATATTATGATTGGTTGACATTATAGAGTTCTCTTCATTAATACACTTATATATATATATATAACTGAACCCGTAGTGTGAATCTTATCAATTAGGGTGCCTGGTTAAAATCACCGAGTGTAGCATCGTTATTGCCCGTGTGACAAACCACTATCTAGACAACCCGGCATAATTTTCTAACATAACAAATTAAAGGTCCACCACCCCTTTTACAACTGTTTATAATGGGTAATATATAAAGTGTGACACAAACATAGTCATGCAATATTAACCCTAGCTATACCTATATACATATCTCTATATCCATACATTTATTTTATATAAAAAAATAAAAATCTTCAACTTTTGCATGAATGTGTTCCCCACATTCCCTGGTTCATCACCATTCCACAATTGCCTCTGCATCTATATCAATTGTCTCAACACAAATTAATCTTTTTTGACAGCAAATAATTTTAAAGAAAACTCCAAAAGCAAAAATCCACAAACCTTTTTAAAAGTAAAGCACAAGTTTTTTATATACATATATACATATATATATATGGACCTCTCCATATGACTTCAATCATCTTGCACACCTTTTAAAATAAGGGTACTTTGGGTGGTCAAGGGCTTGTTCTTCCTCACGAAGGCGGCCCCACCGGAGTCCCTTGCCGGAGACACGAAACGATGGGCTTAAAGGGTTTTATCTCTATCGAACCAATCACCGTTCGGTCTATTTTTCTACGTCTAATCTTTAAAATTAAACCCCTAATATTTTTTTTGTTTGATTAGGGAATATAATTAAGCATGCATTTAACTAAATTGACATGCATTAAAAAAGGCTTTAGAATCACATCCACACACACACACAAACAAACAAACACTTATTATAGGTTCGAATAATTAATTAATTAATTAAGTCATTTATACTTTTGATCCATCTTGTCATGTAATTATCAACTTTTAAATTAATGGTTCTATCCCCTCCTACATGCTAGTCCATAATGAATATATAATATATATATTCATTACAACACACTTAAATTTATCACTACAAAAGTCTTGCAATCCTTACCTTGTAAAGTGAGGGACAAACTCATTTTAATCTTGCTATTTGCCATGTGATTTTGTGGCCTCTTTCCAAGGCTCACCATGCATGCATATGCTTAATATAATGCTTGGCCCTCAATTTTATTTTTAATTTATTAATAATTAAATTTTATTATTGAATTTGGGGGAAAAGGGGCAATGATTTTGTTAAATTCCCTTTCCTATTTAGGAAGTTCTTTATTACAAGAAACCATTTCATTTTAGACAACATTCACACATATTTGTTATAACTAATAATGCAGTAAATAATTTTGTGTTTCAATTCTAAACCAAGCTTACAGTCAGGGGCGGACCCAAAGCTTCTGTTGGGGGGGCACCCGCCCCTGCAGAAAAAATTTTTTTTACCTTTTTTTTTTATTTTTTTAATATTTTGGCTTATTTATGTATTAATTTATACACTTTAGCCCCCCCAAAGTTAAAATTTTATACCATTTAACCCCAAAACTTTTTTTTCGCCCCCCCACCCAAAACCCCCTGGGTCCGCCCCTGCTTACAGTACAGACATGATTACCTATGTAAGGGTCCCTCTTATGAGAATTTGTCAAATATAAATCATCTTGTAAAAAGGATTAGCGATCGACCAAGTTGTACATGTTTCGGTGAATGTTGTCGGGTTAATGCTTAATTATTTAATTTCTTCTAACAACTCTTAATTATTAGTTTTTTTTTATGGAGATTTTAGATTAATCTATATTATGACGAATAACCCGTAGTCAACCATAAGAGGTTTAATATTTATTAAAAAGAAAAACTACGTAACATTTATATCTAAAATCAACTAGACAAAAATTATATGTGACAAGCTGGTATAAGGCCCTTTAAATTTCATTCTCCTTAAATATATATGTAATTTCCAGAATAATTATAAAATAGAGGATAAATTATGGCCATCCTTCCAAGTAATGTTAAGTTACGAAAAAATTCATCATGTTTAGATAATTACTATCATTTCCTCAACTATGAATTTTCTTACATTCCACGTGTTAAATTAAGTGGAATCTTCTAGATTGTGTACAATATTCTTCGGTTTGTACATGTTTTACCTCATTCGAGCTTCACGTTTTGACCAAGATGATCATAAGGTGTCTCTTGACTTGTAAATATCTGATTGTAATGCATCAGAAACTGCATTATATTTTTGTATAAGACTAGTACAAACTAGAGAACATTTCACGGAATCTAGAAAAAATTTTGTTGAAAATGACACCATAAGAGTGGACGTATAAGAAAATTCAGAGTTGAGAGGAAGGGACATAGTTATAATTACCCAAACATGAAGAGTTTTTCATAATTTAACATTAACACAGATGGTGGCCGTAATTTATCCTAATAACTATTTAAGACCGGTCAACGGACATATTCTTAATTCTTATAATAAAATTAATTAATTAAAAAAATTAAATTAAAGTTTGACTTCACTCCAGTATATTATATTGCAATGTTAATTGAAGGTACCAATAATACAAGTATGGCACCATTAATTGGGAGCACTTAACCGACAAATGTGCAGAAACAGTAAAAAGATAAAAGAGAGAATAAAAACCCCATTATCACTACAAAAATTACACCACGTCACTTTGGAAGAAAAGATACCACCCATTATTCCCTTTCGCTTCGCGCCTATATTTCACTATCAATCAAAAGAAGTTATGAAAATAAATTTATTATATTAGTTATAATAAATAAAAGGATAATTCATTAGAAAAAAAGAAAGAAAACACCAAAAGAAAAAAATGCAAGTACAGATGAAGAATTGATCTTTTTTAGGCACTTACAAGACATGGAATATGACATCCCACTAATTTCAAGATATTTGTTTTTTTTTTTTTTTTTTTTTTTCTAATTTGTTATATATGTTTCAAATATCAATTATTCAATTATCTTATTTTCTAACATCCACAACCCAACCCTTGTTTTGGTATAATATTAGTTACAAATAAGATTCTTCACATTTCAAAATTAATACAATGACATGATGTAATTGATTCCCAAAATATTTTATTTTTTATTAAATACAAAATAATCACTAAACTAATTCCCCTTTTTCTTAATTTTGTTTGGTTGTTCGGTCGATCCGCATGCTTACAAAGAGATTCCTTGCCAATCTATCTACAAGTTTGTTTATTTAGATAATACATTTCTTTATTGTAACATGTTAATGCGTTGATTGTTATCCTGTTATGTAGCACGGAAATTTCAACTTTCTAATGTACCCGCGTTTCGGAAATGTTTTGTGTCCGATAGTCGAGTACACCTGGCCGACAACTTAAGGATCATTTTGTAAGTTTTAAAAAGTTAGAAATATGTTTGAATAGTATATTTTCAAAAAAAATAAAATTAATTTCCTAATTACTTACATGATTTAATGATCAACTGCAATTGATAGTTGATAATAATATATATTTTGAATATATTTGTACGGAAATCTATAAAAAGAACTTATTTATAAATAAAATCTTATATATATATATATATATATATATATATATATATATATATATATATATATATATATATATACTTTTAATATTTACAACGTTTTCCCAACTCCCCGTATCCCCATTTCTAATACATGCCATTTCCTCGTGTCTGTTTTTTTGTTTCCCTAAATCGTTGTTTCTGAGTGTGTGGCGACTGTGTACTACATAGTTGTACATAAAATTTATACATATTTTACACATATTCATATATATATATATATATATATATATATATATATATATATATATATATATATATATACACACATACACGATTGTGTGTAAAAACTCAAAACAACTCAATGTATGGCTTCTGCAAAAGACCAACGGCCCTACCTTAATACATTAATCAATGAGAAACAATTTTGTAACACACAAAATCATTGATATATCATAATTACAACGCCCACATATATTAAATAATTCGAATCAAGAGATTTGCATGTGATAAAAGAGATGCACACACAATTAGCACTCAAAATTAAGTCTAAGCTACGTACTTTAATTGATTAATCCACAATGTCACATTTTTTAGGCACGATCCTGCCTTAGCGATATGGTGATTACCTTTTTCTTTTTTTTAATATATTTTTAATTTGAATTTAAAAATCATATAATGCTTGGCCAAATCTAACACTGTCACACTGAAAAGGTAACACAAATATATGGACCAGATAATTTGGTCTCTTGAGTCAATTTAGCTTTAATGTAAGTGGGAAAAGAAATATATTAAGTTAAGCATATTTAATCTTGTGTGAACGTGTGTTTGTCAAAAATTTGATACATTTATCCTTTTTATAATCAGACACCATCATCAAATAAAAACAGCTAGCTAGATTTACTTATACATAATTAATTGATTTATGTGACACTATGATGCTGTTATACAAAGCCGATGGATCAACTCAAGAGTCCTAAAGCCCAATATTTTTAAGTCTAGGGATCTTCAAGTTCAGTCGAACGGAATAGTACGGGTTTTTGCAACGTGTTTTAAGGGATCGAAGGTCGCGGGTCGACCGAAGATCCTGCAAAGCAAATCAAGATACTAAGTAACTGCAATGTTATTAGTCCAATATGATCTTCATTTCTCGACTCGTACAATTTGAGAGCTATTGGCCGCTACTCGGTGTCAAATCTATGTAAGCCACTTAGAGCAACTGCAAATTCTCTTTTCAATTAAAATAAATATATAAATAATAAATAGAAAAATTAGGGTTTTTATAATGCTAATAAAGATAAAACCATTGACTTCAAAACGGAGTGGCTAATGAGTAATTAACCCGAGGCGGCGGTGGTGGAGTGAGCATAAATCAAAGTGTGTATATATCTTAAATAATAATTAATCACATTGATTTCAGCAAAACCTTTCCTCGGATTTGAACGCACTTGTTTAATTAATTACCCAATCCTTACTATGTTCACGCAAATTGAATTATTTATTTATTTCATCCCTCTCTCTTGAAATAAGTATAGTTTTGAGCACACATCTAATTATATTTAATTACTCGTACATAAACGTTCAGTGTCGAAGCCAGAATTTTAAATTAAATGGACCGGATACACAAGATATTGATATTTTTTTATATAAATAATTAGAGATTTAAAAAATATGGAGGGAGCCATGACCCCCGAGAATGCTGGCTCCGTCGCTGGAAATGTGGGCATGATTTACTCTCCAGAATTTGAAGGCCTCCAAAGAATAGTGGAGTAAAATAGAAAAACATTAATTTGGGCATGATATCCTCTCGAGGTGTTAAATGCATGTCGGAAGGATTATAAAGAAGATAATTAAAATTAAATTTAACAAAATTAAAAAATTATAAAAAATCATGCTACTAGTATGAAATTAGTCAACGGTCAAAGATTTTAAAGAGTGTAGTTGTCTCCCACATGAAAATTCAGCATTAATGAAGGATTAGGGTTGCTTCGTCACATACTAATTAAAAATTCCCAGAAATACTCACTACATTACTTTAGTTTTATTTTTATTTTTAAATTAGTGAGTTAAAAATGTGATTATCACGGACGATAGTAAGTAAGGACTAAATATTTTGGTCCATGAGGTAATGTTAAATTAAAAAAAAAGTTACATTATTTTGTTTGGGTAATTACAACCACCCCTTAACTACACATTCACAGTCTACTCATATTTTGTCAAATTTACCTATTGAATGAAGGATTCTTTCGTAAAACAATACTTAGTTAAAAGGGTCTTGTAATAATTATTCAAAGATTAAGGGGTTTTTTCATAATTTAACCTTAACTCAGAATTGGCCATAATTTGCTCTGAAAAAATTAAAATAAAATTCAAAAAGCGCTAAATCGAATTTGAAAGAATAAATAATTTTGAAAATTTGGAAAACGTAGCAATTAGGCACTAAGCTCTCTTGAAGGATTAAAATAAAACAAAACTATTACTTGAAGTCTTGAACGGTAATCGAAGTTTAATTGTTAATCACTAGTACAACTTTCGGTGATAGTATTAATATCTGACCCGGATCCTGTTTTCGTTGACTTTTTAGATTTTTTTGATTTTAATTTTAATTTTTTTTTGGCTGGCCTTAAATTCTCAGCCAGAGATATCATATAAGATAAAAAAAATCTAAGATAAAAAAAAAAACGGAAAATGTACGTGGAGTACACATTATTATTAAATAATTCAAAAGATTATGTTTTGGACCAATTATTGAAGTAAAGTTGCTGTAGATAAAAGCAATTTCTTTTCGGGATTTACAAAAATTCTTTTGTATTTTGGCGAATATGTCAGGAATGTTGCTGCACAGGGCTCAATTTGTAATCTACTGTATATACTATTCCTTAGTCAAACTATACTTTTTCAATTAGTTTTTTTTTTTACATCTATTTTTATTTGTTATTTTTCATAATTCGGTGTTCTGAGTTTTTTTATATTATTGTTATATTTGAGATTGCTATTTTATATTATTGGGTTTATAATTAATTTGCTCATCATTGTGAAATAAATCACAGAAGTATTGCATGTTACTAGACATTTGGTGGACTTGTCTGTTTTTTTTTTTTTTTTTTTTTTTTTTGATGAATTATAATGTTTTAATTTAAATTCAAGCAAAAAACACTAATAAAGAAGAAACTGGAGAAGGGTCCTATCTGCTAAGAGGATTCAATACACAGGCATAATTGAGATTTAATTTATGTTAATTATGGTCGGCACAAAATTAGACAAATTTCACATCATTTTCACGACTTATATTCTGCACCATGCAATTTTAGGAATTTGGACATCTTCTAGCTGTTATTAAAAACACACACACGCGGACATAATTTTTAACATATAAATAAAATTAGTGCTGAAAAGAAAAAATAAAAATAAAAATCCATGAGAATTACGTGTCAACCAAAATGCCATTTGGCGGCCAGCTGTGCCAGCTGTCGTGTACCGTTCTTATGAACTAACACCACGTGAAGTGGGATGAGAAAACCGTTACAAAGTCTGCAAGCCGTTAAAAGTGAAAACAATAAATAAATAAATAAATAAATAAAATAACCCCGTTAGTTATCGTGTTACCGGGGAAACGAAGCCGGAGGAGAGGCTGCCGGTGTGAAAAGGAACACCCGCAGTACAAGCACGCATGTAATAAGTACACCCAGAGAGCGGGAGAACCGGGTATTGCCGGTTAATTTCCTGCACTTCAAGATATTAGATGGGGGTGGTGACCGGTTTTCTATGCAAATTAACGAATAAGACAAGCACACCATGCGCGCGTACCACCACTTATAGATCACCATTACATTTTCACCAAACCCCAATGATTTTTAATTATTTTTTTTTCTTATTAATAAAACTAATTTGTTATTTTTTTTTTTCTTTTTAATTATTTTTTGATGCATACATAAAACTAATTAACCATAAAATCTCGTGGTCTTGCAGAATTTGTTCACATAAAAAATGTGGTCTTTTATTAATTCAAGTTTTGACTCATTTGATTAATAAGGTTACTTCCACGCAACTCACCCATAGTACACCTCGTTTTCTTTAACCGATTTAGAATTTTATTTATCGAGAGACTCCGTCCCACTTATTAGGCCATTTGATTTGGACCTTGTTGAATTTATATCAATCAATTCGAGAATAATCGTTTGGGATAACTATAAGATGGGTGTTTTTTCAAGTTTTTCAATAGTACGTGACATATAACAATATGGCCTAATATTTGAACGAATGCAAAACCGTTCAACAAATTGTATACATCATGACTTGTTAACGCTAAATAGTCTAATTAAGTAACAAAATGCAGACAAGGGGAGTGATTTATATGCTACACCGGACAATTATTAATTGTAGAGATAGTTAAATAACCACTAAACTATATATAATATATAAGGCATGTGTAATTATGTGCAAATTTCACAGTTAATAATAATCAGCCGACGTAAATAACCTGATTTAGCATAGGAAGTTCATCCTTCCATATAAAACACTAGTCGTAGTAGATAAGGTCGGAAATAATTCAAACATATATCTAAATTATTACACCCTTTTGTAATTTTTTATTTTTTTACAAAAAGATGAATAATAATTAGTAAGAAGAAAAAGAAATTGGGCAGAGTTGGGAAAAAAGGGCAAGCAGACAGTACTTGGTACAGTGCTATAATTGTCAGAGGCAAATAATATGAAGCACGAAAGTATTATGTCCAAGTGAGTGAATAAAGCATGCCCCTCACCACATAAGAATTAATATTACCGAAATTGCCACCAAGTCCAATCAATATTCACAATCAAGCCATCCAACTTCCCATTATTTGCACTTTTTTTTTTAAAACTACAAACGTGGACCATGTACACCCCCTACCCTTTCTTTCTTTCCCCTCTATATATATCTCCCCTCTTCCTCCTCCCTCTCCCGCACTCTCTCTCTACTTCTCTCTATCTCTCTCTCTCTCTACATATACTCACATATTTATATATATACATATATAGAGAGACGGTGTGTAAAAATAATTGAGAAACAAAATATGCCAGAGGCACCAAATGATCAAAATGAAGGACACGTGTCCAGCTACAACAGTGTGGTGGTGGAGAACAACAAAAAGCTGGAGTTCATCGAGGAAGTGACGACAAACGCCGACGAGGTTCAGAAGCGGGTGCTGTCTGAAATACTGTCGAGAAACGCAGGTGTGGAGTACTTAAAACGACATGGTTTTGAAGGAGGCAACACAGACAGAGATACCTTCAAGAAAATCATGCCTGTCATCACCTACGAGGATATTCTCCCCGACATCAACCGCATCGCCAATGGCGACAAATCCCCCATCCTCTGCTCCGATCCCATCTCCGAATTCTTAACCAGGTATTCTTTTATTAATTTATTTATTCCATCATTCTTGCATGTGGGTTTTCATTTTTTTATTTATATATATAGTTCTGGGACGTCTGCCGGAGAAAGAAAAGTGATGCCGACGATAGAGGAGGAGCTAGGGCGGAGATCGCTGCTGTACAGCCTGCTGATGCCGGTGATGAGCCAGTTTGTGCCGGGTCTAGACAAAGGCAAAGGGATGTATTTCCTGTTCGTAAAATGCGAGACCAAAACACCGGGCGGGTTACCGGCCCGACCCGTTTTAACCAGTTACTACAAAAGCTCCCATTTCAAAGACAGGCCTTTCGATCCCTACACAAACTACACCTCCCCCAACGAAACTATTCTCTGCCCGGATTCCTACCAGAGCATGTACTCCCAGATGCTCTGCGGCCTCTTCCAGAACAACCAAGTCCTCCGGGTCGGGGCGGTTTTCGCATCCGGCTTCATCCGGGCCATCCGGTTCCTGGAAAAGAACTGGGCCCTTCTAGCCCACGACATCCGAACCGGAACCGTCAACTCCCTCATCACCGACCCGTCTGTCAGGGACGCCGTGACCCGGATCCTCAAACCCGACCCGAAACTGGCGGACTTCATCGAAGCCGAGTGCGGCAAGGAATCTTGGCAGGGGATCATCACCAAGATCTGGCCGAACACTAAATACATTGACGTGATCGTCACCGGAACCATGTCGCAGTATATTCCGACGCTGGATTACTACAGCGACGGTCTCCCGCTCGTCTGCACAATGTACGCCTCGTCGGAGTGCTACTTCGGCGTTAACCTTAACCCGCTCTGCAAACCCAGTGACGTGGCGTACACGCTCATCCCCACCATGTGCTACTACGAGTTCTTACCCGTTTCTAGAAACAACGGCATGCCGTTGCCCAAATCCCTTAACGAGAAAGAGCAGCAAGAACTCGTCGACCTCGTCGATGTCGAACTCGGCCATGAATATGAACTCGTCGTCACTACATATGCTGGTAACAACAAATTTCTTCTTTTACTTTTTTTTCTTTTTTTTGTAGTACTTTATATATTTGATAGTGATTCGTTTTATTTTATGAATTTGCAGGTCTGTACAGGTATAGAGTTGGCGACGTGCTGCGCGTGGCCGGATTCAAGAACAATGCGCCGCAGTTCAACTTCGTATGTCGCAAGAACGTTGTCCTAAGCATAGACACCGACAAAACCGACGAGGTCGAGCTGCAGAACGCCGTTAAAAATGCCGTTACCCACTTGATCCCGTTCGACTCCCGTCTGACCGAGTACACCAGCTACGCCGACACGGCGACGATCCCCGGCCACTACGTCCTCTACTGGGAGCTGAGCCAAATTGGGTCCACGCAGATCCCGGCATCCGTCTACGAGGACTGCTGCCTCACCATCGAAGAGTCCCTCGACAGCGTCTACCGACAGAACCGGCATTTCGACGCGATCGGACCCCTCGAGATCAAGATTGTGGAGAGCGGGACTTTTGATAAGCTCATGGATTATGCTATCAGCTTAGGCGCTTCGATTAATCAGTACAAAACGCCGAGGTGCGTGAAATTCGCGCCGATCGTCGAGCTGCTGAATTCGAGGGTCGTCGCTTGCTATTTCAGCCCCAAGTGCCCGAAATGGACTACACCAGGCCTCAAGCAATGGAGCAATGCCAATTGATGAACCACATGAATTATTATTATCATCAAGAACCAAAAAAAAAATATTATGTGATCATCATTTTGTTTAGAAGTTAAGGTTTAAGTTTATTAATTAACCAATCTTTTTATGTTTTTTTTTTTTTTAATGTTGTTGTCATTGTAGTGTTTTAATTAACGGTTGTTTAATTAGTATGTGGTAGAATTGTGTTAATTAGGTGTACAAAAACAGTTCCTATTTCAAGGAAATTAAGTCTTTTTTTTAAGTTATTATTATATATTATTATATAAAATTTGCGAAAATGCCAGCTTGCACTTTGTTTAATTTGCAAAAAATGGGGATTGGTTCATCTTCTTTCCAGGCAGGATTCATGGCCACTGAAATCTCATGAGTTGTACATTAAAAACTGTAACAGAAGACCAAATCACAGTTGTTTGTTTAATTAATTAATTAATTAATTAATGGAGTCATAATTTTCTTGAAAAGCTAACCTACTTTATCTCTCTTATAATTAAGTACACTAGCTATACATTTATAGTAACTTTATCATTTGCAAGCATCCTCACTCCTTCCAGTCAATTGTGCCCCCTAAAAACCAGGGAGAAATTAAATAAACAGATTATTAATTATGAATTGATTTTTGCCAACATGGCATGGAAATTAATTATTACTTAATTTTGTTCAGGTTCTGTATAATCTATAGTGTGCTTTTGCATTGGCATTAGTATTATTATATGAAAGTACATAAAATAAATTTAATTTATATAATTATATTATTTATACGAATTAGATGTCCCGTAAATATGGCGGTCTATACATATATACTTGCAATCCATCGGTATATACTAACTCAATACGATTACCGCGGATTTTACGGTTACGATATATGATTTTATATATGTAGAAATTCATGCGAATTTTGGGCTTCATGACGACTTCATATCTTTAAAGTTACAAAATGAGTTGTTAAACACGTAATATAACATTTTAGTTAATAAATTAAACATGTACAATTTCGATAATTTGCTTTGACGACATTGCAAAATTACACTTAATTGGCATATTATTTCAGGTACAAATATTAAATAATTCACCGAAGTAATTAATTAACATCTTAAATTTTTATTTAAATTGTTCATTCAACAAACATTAATAAAAATCATGTGTATGTGTTTCAAATAAAAAAAAATTATATATAACACAATTTGTGTACGCATGCAAAAAACGAAGCAGGTGGCCGGTGGTTGTCTGAATCTGGTGTGGACAGCAAACAGAAAAGAGGTACAACTACAACTACAAGCACAAGAATATATATAAATGCATGACTGAACCGAACCGGGTCCGGTCCGGTCCGGTTCGGGAGATGATGGCCGGAGAAAAAGTTGATGAGATTGAACATATAGATTAGATGAAGAGACAAAAAACGATAATATGAGGAAAAAAAAGGACAGATAAGATAAATAATATATGATGCGATTCTTATTCAGAAACTGTTCCCCGCTTTTGCCTCTGCATTTATGTCCCAAACTATTTCACATTTCTTCACACTTTCTTCTCAATCTGGCCAATACCCTTTCGACACACTTTAACCAATTAAATTAAATATAATAAAAAATTTACAAAAAAAACTGCAGAAACAGATTTTTCTTTTATTAAAGCTGTGATGTGAAAAAGCTGGTGTAATAAAATGGAAAAGGGTAATTATTTTCAAACTATTCATAATTATTTCTTGGATAGAATATATGCGTTGTCATTTGATCTAATTTCGAAACTCGTCGTCAACGGTGGATAGGTCAAGTTTGTCACATACAAGTAATCTAGTGTAGTTTACGTTTTTCGTATGATTTGCAAACTTTTATACGAGGTTATAGGTTTACTTATATGATTTGGATGAGGGTTCCATCGTCAGCAAAAAAAAAAAAAAAAAAAAATGGTTCGAATCATGATTTTGGATTTAGATAAGCTAGTGGCGGTTTCTTAATTAATTAGCCTTAATTACTAATAATTGAGAGAATCTCTCTACATATTTACGTTGACAATCCAGATTTGACTTTGGAACCTTCATATCTAACAATATATATATAGTATTTCAATTGCTGGTACGAAAAGAAACATACTAAATTAAGTAATAATCTTTTTGCTCCCATATGCACGCTTCATGTATAAGATATAATTATTTTTTTTAACATTGGAATTTTAGGACTAGTATATTGTTGGTTTAAGTAAATGTCGGAATTTCGTACCTAGCAGATGTTAATAATAGGGGTGGAAATCGGATGGATTCGAAAATCATTTTCTAAAAAAATTCCAATTTATTTCGAAAGTAAAAAATGAGTTCCAGTTTTATTATTAAAAAAAAACAAGAAATGCAAAAATTTATTCTAATTTCGGAATGCATTGAATCAACGGAATTTCGAAAATTTTGGAAATAACTTTAATTTTTAATCTCATATTCCAAATTGGGATATAATTGAAATTTTCACAATATTTTTCTATATTACTCATTTTTTTGCAGCAAGATGCTAGAAAAAACAATAGAGAGTTCACCAAAAGCAATAAATAAAACCACACAAAGGAAAAAAAAATGAAACAGAGATTTTATGATAAAAAAAAAAAAAAATACAACATATAGTTTATGATACCAATTAATTTTTTCTAATATTTTATTTTACTTGACCCTCCGATATTTATATTTTTCATATATAGAGTTATCTTATTTATTTCAAAAATACAATCGAAATGAAAAATACGATTTCGAATTTGAATTATTTTCGAATCGAAGTTGAAAGAATTCAAAAATTTCAATCCAATTTTTACCACTAGTTAATGGTTGATTTCAAATTAATTCCTTGTAAAAATAATGGGAAAGAAGATAGACAAACAAATACATTTCATAAATGCCATTGTTGGTGGGGGCCACAATAAGGCAATGAGAAGCGTAGAATCCGGGAAAATATATATATATTCGGGCAAAGCTGGGGATTGTGCATCTACAGGGGACCAAACCTCTGGGTCGCTGACAGGTGTCCGTTGACCTGATCTCACTCGTTTGCTACTCGTCTTTTCTTTTGTCTTAATATCGCCACCGATTAACTGCGGAACCAGTCAGCTTTCGGCCCCACCTCTACTCAATAACAACCTTTCCACGTGGATTTTCGCCTTTTTTTTTGTAATTTACTTCCATTTTTAATTATTTTCATGCAAATTAAATCTTCTAATTTTGTTATAACTTATCGGTTTCTCTAGTAATAGCAAAACTCAATAAATATTTCGATCAAAATGTCTTTCGTAAATCATGTATGATGATAACAAAACGATTGGTTCAAAAAAAAAATTTGTTCATATTTTAATCGAAACCGAAACAGAAACCGAATCGAATATATATTTTATTATTTAAAAAAATTAATTTGATAATAAATCTATAAGGTAATAAGTTTTAAATCTATATATTTTTCAAATGTGTTAATGTATACACTTATACATTAATACGTCTAATTAACGCATCGTACAGTATGCGTATTTGCGTGTGTATATACTGTCTTGATAGTGAAGGCATAGCTTGTCTTGGAGCAATGACAACAACTAGTCACACGACAAGCTCTATCAATGTGAGAAATTGGAGTTGGTGGAATTGGAAAAATGAATTCCAATTTTCTCGTCCTATTTACTTTATTTCAGAAAAGTGAGGTTAAAATCTTGTCTTCAATCCGCATTCCACGTTCCACATTCATATTCCACAAATCTAACAACGTATTGTCCAATCACTATTCCGATTCCTTGTTCCAAACTCTATTTTCATGTATAAAACAATAAATCGTTATTTTAATTCTATTTTAGTGTCCACCTATTTTTTTTTTAATGTTATTTTACAATTTAACTTTATCCTACTAGATTATTTAAAACCTCATTAAGTAATTGATATGGTTAGTCGTTATACTTCCATTAAACAATTGTTACTTTACAAGTTTCACCCTTAATTAGAACCTCAATTATGATTTTGTTTACATTGTTTGGTATTTTTAAACTTCTCAAGGTTTAATGAATTGATCTAAAATTGGAATTGGAGTTTTCATGACAATTTTTATATTATTCTACTATATTATTAACATAATTATATTTATGTAACATTTTAATTAAAATTTGTCATGTGATGTTTCGCCCAACCATGCTTCCATTAAACAATTTATTACACACATCAACACCATCTTTTGCAATTTGTGATTTTATATGTGTTTGCTTGACATTAAATTAAACCAACTATTGTTCCATTAATATATTTTTTTAATTGTTCAAAGAATTTGGACAGTTCTGAAGCTGGATCCCTTTTTTCAGTGTGTACATTTATATACAATAATGTGGGAAAAATATATAACAAATTCACCAAATCCTGACCGTTGGATCGTGACATCAGGAGAACTGTTGTGATAAGCAATAAGAGCGAAAATGAGGGATCTGAATGCGATTGATGATAAATTATAACAGTGGAGAAAACGGAAAAAACTATATATCTCTATTTATAATAAATAACGTTTGATGGAGAAAGTGAGAGCTTTGCTTTTCAGGCGACAATCCACGCAACAGTGACGTTGACGGCGATGGCGACTGTGAATTAACGGCAATAATATTTTGCTGCTGTTAAAGAATTCATGCACAGGACGTATGATTGGTAAATGTCTAAATGATGATGTTAAAAGTTATAATCAAAATAATAATGAGCCTGCAATTAAGGATAGGATAATTGCTATTAGGTGTGTAAATTGTAATTATGTTTAGACTTTAGCCCAATAATGCGATGCTTAAAACAGAAATTTATTGAATTTGGCATTTAATTAATATTGCTTTTTTACTAGAAAAAAATATGTCTGGGTGGTAGTTTAAAATGGATAAAAGAAGGGCACATGTACTGTTTCAAGACTCACTAAAAGGTTTACATCATGCTAATTAATTAATTAATTAATTAATCATAGTATGCCCCGTTTGGTTGCCAAGATAAGCCATGATTAAATAAATAGTTGAACTTAATTTGATGTTTGGTATCCTCAATAACTTGCCGGGTCGACCCGCCAAAATTATATAATCATGGCTTATCTTGTCTTATCTTGGCTTATCTTGCCTTTTAATGAGTTTTTTTTGTTGGACCTTTCAAGCTCCAATAAAATAATTGGGTCTCATTAGATTATTTAGTCTTATCTTGGCTAATCTTATCTTGTCAACCAAACGGGGCCTTAATAAATCAAGATAATAGCTCATTTATCGATAAATTAATAGACCCATTTAAATAATAATTTCTTTGGATCCCAACTCGGTAATACATACTAAATTATTACTTCGATAATTTAATATGTCATTAAATTAATAGAATTTTGCTAGTTCTGACTGTATTAATTTATAGATGTTGCACCAAGAGGCGAAATCACTCGCCCCCAAAGCCCTTATCCCTTGGCCCGACAATTTATAGAGGTTTGACTTGGGTGTGTAAATCGGACATAATTGATCGGCAATGGCTTTTTCTGAAAATTTTCAATCTTTTTTTAAAGTAAAAAATGGTTTCCAATTTCCATTCCTAAAAAATCGGAATGCAAAAATACTTTTTGATTTCGGAATGCCTCGTAATCAACGGAATTTAGAAAATTTCACAAATTACATTAGTTTACAATATTTTGTTCCAAATTCAGATAATGAAAATTTTCACAATATTTTTCTATCTTTTTAAAAAATATCCCGAAAAAACCATTTTCGATAATTCCGTTCGATTTCCACAGACACCCTCCACAATTTTGATAAGATTTGTGAATGGTTTCAACTTAATCATACTCAACTAACCCGTCAATTCTTGAAACTTCTACAATAGTATTTTATTTAAAAAAATAAGTGAAATTAATTAATTGTATACTTCTTGGACGATATTGTTCTTGACTAAGCCCTTGAATATATTTATCTCCTTTGTCACTATTACGCTGTAATCAAACAAAGATGCACACCATACATTATAAATCAATAATTAAAATTTCAGTCAAATGCAAAGACCCCCTAAAATGAGGAATGCATGCACCCAAAAATAAAAAATAAAATATTTTATAAATGAAATATAGATATTATTTTAAGGGATTTTTATGCAAAAGTCCCCAACCAAGCATGTTTATTATTCTAGGTATAGGGGACATATCTCTTTCACCAATAAGCCCATCCCTTTAATATTTATTATAACTAAAGGAAACATTCATGTATATCCCAATATTACCCTCAATCATTTATACCCAATTCTTAATTGTAATCCAAATTAATCAATTTTGTCCATAAAAGTTCAATTTTGACCACAAAAATTCAATTTTGACTTTTTTTTGGAGTATAATTTAATATGCTCCAATTTCATCCTTAACTTAATTTAATCTCAATTTGACCCCAAATTTCACAAATTATTAAATTTTGACCCAAAATTTTTTTTTTTTCAAAAAAATTTTTTTTTTTCAAAAACTTTTTTTTGCCGCCGGATTCCGGCGTTGACCGGCGGTCAACGCCGGTCTCCGGCGTTGACTTTTTAAACCTTTTTTTTTTTTTTTTTTTTTTTTTCTTCGCGGATTTTTTTTCCGGATTCCGGCGTTGACCGGCG